GCTCAAAGCAGGAGGGATTGCGAGGATGACACAGAATTACAGGCATCAGCATTCAGCAAGCAAGCGGAGAATGCACCGATCTATTTTTAATGGTACAATGCAAATGCTCGACAAAAGGATGTGTCTAGGGAGATTCTGCCCGGTCAGAGATTTGCATTCTTTTTTTCCCCCCTCTTTTTTTTTTTTTTTTTTTTTCTCCCATCAGTCAACTTCACTGGGTGTGCTGGAGGTGCTCTGACCTTCTAGCACCCCACAGAATAATTCGGAGCGCCACCTGGGACATCCCTACAGGGTCCACTGAGCATTAGATGGGGTGTTAGATGGGGATGGCCATTCACTGCTCGGCTTTCCTGCCCCACGTACATGCAGTGAACATATTTTCCACAGGCCAGCTTGCCCATCAGCAGTGCTGGCACCCTCTCCTCACCAGCTCTCCGCTCAGCAGCCGCCGGTGCCAAGCGAGGCTGGGGATGCGCCTGCCTGCTCCCCATGCAGGGCTCGCGGCCAAGCTGAGGGAGATGGCATGAATAACTCCACTCGAGATACGGCTTGAAGCAGGACCAGGCTGCCATCACAAGCTCGGGGGTTGTCGGTGGCGAGGTGAGAACAGTTGGGGATGCTGCATGTCAATGGAAGGCTCTGGAGAGTGAGGGACCCTTGGTGTTTGGAGCAAAGATGGCCTGGATTTACCCAGCAGAGGCTGGGTTTCAAGGGGAGGTGTGTAATTGAAGCAGGGACAGGTTTAATGCGTGGGGATGGCTTGACTTGCTTGGAGAAAAAAACCTGCAAGCACCTAATAAGCAGGCTGAAATTCCCACCAGGGCTTCTGCTGCATCAGCTGAATTACCGCTTGCTCGCTTAATACAGCAGTGCTCCTCAAAGAACCAAATCCCCTGCTATAACAAAAAAAAACAAACAACACACACAACAGGCTGACGAAAAGCTGTGGATGTAGGCACACCATGCACCTATGTGCCAGCAGAGTAAGGCCGGGAGGCAGGGACAGAGCAGGAGGATGTAGCACGGCGTTAGCAGCGCGGGAGGACGGGCTATGGGGGCTGGATGCCAGGGCTGTGCCGTCACTGCAGTCTCCATACGGGATTCAAAGCAGTGGTCTGCCTCTTTTCAGGTCCCCTCGCCATCGCCACCTAACCACAGGCATTTTACAACAGCCTGGGAGCAGCAGGAAGGAAGGCAGCTACAGAACAGTCATAGCATCATTTAGGTTGGAAAAGGCCTCAGGAGCAAACCCAGCCCGACCTCTGTCCCTCAAAGCAGGCCTGGCTTCAACACCAGAATGGGTCATCTTGTCCTTCTGGTCACCAAATGACCCATTCCCAGTCATCAGCAGGCTCAGAAAGGAGGCTCCCATAACTCACCCTACAGAAATGCCACCCTGGGGAACCTCCTCTGCAAATTGCAAGGGCACCCTGAAGTGCTGCGGAGAAATTCCTGAACGACACGAGGTCTCTGCCCCGAGAAACCCGAAGGCTTGGTTTAAAAGGAGAGTCACAACGAAGGCAGACGAGTCGTGCACATGCACACCAGGGTGGGTGAACGGGGATCACGAGGGCTTTCCATGCACAGCAAATAGCAGTAGAATAAAGACATGAGAGGAATTGGAAGAAAAGAGAGAGTCGAGGAAGGGTTTCTAGCCCCAGATACCTTGCTGGTATGCTCTCAAATGGGGTCAGTGCAAAGCACATCGCTTCTTTCATACAGCACAGCCCCTGCACCACTGCTCCCTGCTTGCACTACCAGGCTCTGCATGCAGGGAACCAGTTCCCCGTGAGCACCTCCAGGTTCTCCCTCAGTCCCTGAGCTCCCACTGCACCTATCTGCTGGAATGCCAGTCCTACAAACAAGCACCAGCTTGGCACCACAGCAAACCGGAGGTCCTGAGCAGCAGCAACCCCCCTGGGAGCGTTCCTTGCAGCCCCCACAGGCGCCCTCCATGCAGGGGATTCTCCTCTCCCTGCTCCGCCTGGCTCTGCGGGCAGCCTTGGCCTCCATTTCCCATTGGCACGGTGGGTTTTACAGCCCCCCCGTTCCCTCGGCTGTGCTGTAACCCTGCTCGCCACGCATGCGCAGGGCTCCCCGAGCAAGCTTGAGAAAAATCTTGAGCAGAGAGCTTGTTTGGCTCCTTATCTGATGGACGATCCCAGGCCACTCGCCTGCCTTCCCCAAGCCTGTCAGGTGCCTCCTTCCCACTCGGCATCAGGCGGGACAGGTGTATCTTCAGAGACAAAATTTTAAGGCTTGAAAAACAGGTTTTAAAACCCAGAGGGCAGCAGGATGCCGAGGAGCACTCGCCAGCTTTCCCCGCCGGGTGAGGACGGCGCTGAAGGTCTGGCTGCAGGAGCTCCCTCTGCATAGCAGCAAGGAGAGGAGCAGGGTGAGAGGAGGTCCCTGCAGCCAGCTCTCCTAAACACTGCTGTTCATCCCACAGTGGAGGGGAAAAGGTCCCACGCCTCCTAGGCTGGTCTTCCAGCTGCCCTACCGGGCAGAGGAGCCTGGCATTTGCAAGCTGCTTTTCTTTTATCACCCCAGCAGATTGAGTTTGCTGTAGCTGTTTGAGGATGATGGCGGTGTCCTACAAGCCCGGGCCATAAATCAAGGCTGCCAAGCACTGGAGCACCTCCTTTTCCTGCTCCCATCCCCGATACTGTGAACGTGCTCTGCACCTGCGCGCAGCCAGGGCTTTGGGATCCCAGCCTGAACAGAGCTGCGCTGCAGAGAAACTAACCTCTGATCCCTACCAGCAGCCTCCCTTACGGGTAATGGAACAAATCAGAAGAGGAAGGCACCTTTAGCACACCCCGTGTTTGTTACGTGGATTAACGCAGCTGGTGCAGGGGGAAAGGGTAGGGATAGATGGAGTGGGACCTTGCTCAATCCATCCCCACACTGAGAGAGGTCATTTGGAGAAATCCTGCTGAGCCGCAGCCCCCTTTTGGGAGTGTTTTGTTTTGTGGGGGCAGGAGGTTGCAGGGTGAACCCTGGTTTTCTGTGGGCCACACGCTATGAGAAGCCTTACCCGGCCCTCTCAGGCATTTGGGCAATCATAATTGCGTTGTGCTGAATTTTAGGGGGCAAACTCTCCGAATGCAGGCACCTCAGTGGCTTTCTCGGCAAGGTGCCTGGCACCCAGCAAAAACATGCAGGGCATACAAACCCCATGCTATATTTGCCATAATCTCCATGCGGAGAATCTCCTGCTGTGAATGCTCCCTGAGGAGCTCAGCCACCTTGCTCGGGTCTCCCAAGCCCAGCTGAGGCTGGATTCCAAAAAGCAGTGCAGGATCCAGGGCTTCCTCCCCTGTTCCCTTACCTTGCATCAAGGCAGGGACAGCCTGCAAACCAGGGTGGGCTGAAGCGCCGTGTGAAAACCCCTTTGGTGTGCACCGCTGCCATCGCAGCAGCAGCGCTCGCAGACCACCCGCAGCCAGGTTTGTGCTGCCTGAACCGATTCCGAGTGATTCAAGCAGCACAATTCAAGAGCTGATTCCAAGGCTCTGCCACTGCAGAGAGGCATCCCGGCATCCAGCTGCTGCTCAGCAGCCCCAAATGTCCCCTCTGGTCCCATCCGCTCGGGCAGCCCTCCCCAAACACACCCTGCCAGCATGGCTGTGCCCGTCGCAGCCGGGGAGAAGACATCCGCATAGCCCTCGTGGCTATTCCAGCCAGAAATCCCCCATCCATCCAGCTCTAGGTAGGTGGGTTTTCTTGCTGCAGCAGCAGCTTATTTTGCTTTGGGAGCCATCGCAAGGAAAAACAAAGCAAGCCAAAGCCAACAAAACCTCTTCTGCAGCAGCTGAGCATCCTCCCGGCACAGCCGCCCTCCGCCAGCTGACAGAGGCCGAACCCGTACGCAGCAAGCCCCCGAGCATCCAGCCCCGAGCATCCAGCCCCGAGCATCCAGCCCTTTGGAAAACAAAGCTCCCTGCGGCCGTGCCCCGAGCCTTTCGCCCTCGCCGGACCAGACAATGCAAGCCAGCCCCAAACACTGCTCCACGGGCAGGCTGCTTTCAAGGTTAACATGGCCCCTGGGCTGCCAGGCACGAGCCTCAGCATCGCCTGCTGCTCCCTGGGCTTCCCGACCGTTCCCTGGGGGGTCCCTGTCTTTGCACCCCAAATTAGAGGGGGTCACTCGTCCCCGCTAGCTGCTTGGGACAGGGACGGGCTCTTTGACACATGCTCATGCGGAGCTGCGCTGCCCGCCAGGGAGCTGCTGACACCGCCGCAGTGCAAACGACAAACGCATCCGTGCCCCGAAAATCCAAATATCCTTAACAAAACAGCACCGCACCGCGTCCTTCCCTCCACCAAAACCACAAATTACTGACCTGTGCACAGAGCTCCCCCAATGTGAGCTGAAGCACTGACATCAGCTTTTGCTGTTGCTCAGGAATTTAATTCTGGGGGAGGAGAAAGGGGTGGGGGGCAGAGCAGGAAGGAGAAGGAACTTATTTATCAATAAGGGAAATAATCACGGATCTTGTAAAAACAACCAGTGCTGCACACAGAAACCAACGTTTATCACTAGGTGATAACTTGGGGGGGAGGTCAACAGCTCCCTGCACCTCAGGGGAGGTCAAGGGGATGATTTCCAAGGGGCAGCTCAACTCGTCAGTTGCTCAGAGCCACGGCAGCGAAGCGGTGCCGAACCCACGCCGGCCGCGTTTCAACGCCAAGGACACGGGGTGCCCCTCCGAGCTCCTTCATCCTCCCCAAACCCAAACGCTCCCCGCAGCACCGAGCTGAAACACCTTCCCACCCCACCCCATGCCACCCTACACCTCCCCACCCTCCCCATCCCCTCGGGGACACCCACCTCCCCACCTCCAAAGCTACCCCCAAACTCCCCATTTCGACGCTTTTCCGACCTCATTCTTTTTCTTTCCGTGCGCGCAAACACCCCTCCCCAAGTTTTTCCCACCTCCGGGCACCCAGAGGGGATGGGGAACCCCCCCGGCCGCCCTTCCCCGGCCCGCACTGACCCTGGCGGGGCCAGCCGCGCCGCTCCGCGGGTTTTCCGCTGGCGCGGCCGCTGGCGGTGCCGCGGGGCCCGCATCCCGCACCGGGGCGCGCACCGGGTGCGCACAGCTCCGCGCTGCTCCGCGCCGCTCCGCGCCGCCGGGAATGCGCCGGCGATGAGGTCATGCCTCGGGAGGGAGGGAGGAGGAGGAGGAGGGAGGGAGGGGGGGGGGAAGGAAAAAAAAAAAAAAAAAGAAAAAAAGGAAAAAAAAAAAAAAGCGTTGACGTCACCCGCAGCCAATCAGCGCGGCAGGAGCTGGGCAGGGTGACGGCAGCCCCGCGGGCGCGGAGAGGCGCGGAGAGGATGCTAAGGGGGGTGCGCAGAGGTGGGGTGTCCCCCACCCCGAAGTGGAGGGCAGGTGGAGGTGCTTTGAGGGAGGCCGGCCTTCCCGCTGTCGAGATCTGGGTGTTAACAGCCACCCCAGAGGCTTTTTTGGGGTCCGGCCTCTGGTCCCCGCTGCCAGCCTCACCCAGCGCTCTGCTGGTGGTCACCAAAGATGGGCTCGATGGAGACCAACACAACACGAGGCTGATGGAGGCACGAGGATGGAGGTCGATACGGTGTGAAAGCTTGGCCTCAGCCCGGCCTCCATCACCCCACAGCTCAGAAGGACGTGGAGGCCACGCGGCCCCATGTGCAGGTGGAGGACGGAGCTGGGGGTTTGTCCTTGGATGTGGCCTGGCAGCTCCAGCTTAGCGAGGGATTAGGGTTTAGAAGCTTTGCTGGTGCTTAGGAAATGAAGGGAACCTTCCTCCCCGCTGCCGATAGGGATGCCGGGCGTTTTGGAATTAACTCTCTTCTCTCCGAACACGCGGCGTCGTTTTTTTGTAGAGCACCAAGGGGGTAGAGCCCCGGCTGCTGGGACACACCGTGGTGCTAAAAATCTCGCTGTCTCCTCTTCTGCTGGCACAAAAATCAGTCCAAAATGTGTTGGTGGGGAAAATTCTGCAAAACCAGGGTTACTCCACCACGTGCCTCTAAATTGTGTGGGTTTAGGTCCTGGTAGCACATCTGGTGGGAAGGTGCTGTGCTAGCACAGGGCCTCACTTCTCTACCTGCTCTGGAGCACTCGTGGGTTAAGGAAATTAAGAAAGATGCCTTTGCAGGGGCAAAAGAAGGAAAAAAAAGGGACAGGCTGAGCTGCTAATTCCTGCTGAGATCTGACCTGCAGAGCAAGCAGCAAACAGGAGGAAAGGGGGAGATGCTCCTCTGGCCAGGGGACGCGGGGGACATGGCTCTTATGGGATGCTCAGGCCCACGGCTGGGCAGCTCTCCCACACCCACTGTTGCTGTGCTGGGCTGAGGGGAGAAAGCAAAACAAATGATTCATGGGCGCTAAACCACTGCCAGGATTGCAGGGGCCGGGAGCAGGTGGCGAGGGAGGCTTGCAAAACTTCACCTGACTCCCAAAGCCTCGAGCGAACCCAATTTAGATCCCAACCCAGTCCGACCTGAAAGTCGTGGTTATGGCTACGCCGACAAGGGCTTCCCGCTCTGCGATTCCATCAGCACGGAGTTCAGCCGAGGGCAGGGCTTGTGGGGGCTCATCCATGCTCACCAGACCCTCATCATCCCTATGTCACACAGGGGAAATGAAGCAGGGAGAGCTGTGACGGTGCTGTGATGGTCACACACGGGCAGAACAAAGCAGTGTCGTGCTCCCGGCTCCCATGTACCAGATGTGAAGCCATTGTCACCGCCAGGGGCCAGGTCCCCCCTCCCCAGCATGCTCAGAATGAGCAAAAACACTGGGGCCAGTTGCTCGTTGCTGACGGGGAGCGCTTTATTTCGGATAAAAAGCACTTCAAAAAGAATTCGCCCTCTTTGCCTCACTCTGCTTTTTCTTCTTCCCCAGATTTCAGGCGCATCTGAAGATTGATTGCGTCCCAGCTACGTGGTTTGAATGCAAGTTGCGCTCGCACACGTAATAGTTTTTGCTAAAACGTTTTCCAAGACCCGTAATTGCCATCGCAGGCCAAGTGCGAAACTAAAAACCGAGAGAAAGAAACTGCTGCCAAACCGACGAGTCCGTCAGAAAAGGAGAGACTTGTTCACCAACCTGCACTTGCTTTAAACACACAAATATGTGCATTTTTTACTCTCGGCTGGTGCTCTGTGCCGGGCTATTGGCGCAGCCTGCGTGGAGGAGCGATGCCCGGGGGAGCCCCGCTTGCTGCCTGCCTCCTGCAAAGCCCCAAACGGTGTCACCACGCTCTGCAGTGTGTGAGCAGGCCAAAGCCCCAAGCAGCATCACGAGGCAGCCTCATTTCTCACAGGGAGAGCTGCGTATCTATCCGACTTGGTTTCCCCGAGAAGAAAAATATCTGCACGTGCCCGGCGTGGCTCAGCACTTCCAGGGCACCGGCTGCGGTGCATGCACGGAGCAGAAGCAGCGAGTGCGCAGTGGCTCAACTGCAGCAGTGTGAGGCTGGGGGTCTGCACACCGTGCTGCTCCTCTCCGTGCTGCAGCAGTGCTCCTTCTGCAGCCCTGGCTCTGTGCTGCCAGGCATTGCTGCCAAAGGGAGAAGGGGAAGGCAGCACAAAGTCGTGCGTTGAGTAAATTCCCTTGGCACAGAGCAGGGGTCAAAGGCAGGGGATGGGAGGAGCGGGACCTTTGTACCGGGCATGGAGCAAGCACGCTGCAGGATGCAAAGCTGGTGGTGGCAGCTAGCTCTCCTAGAGGCTTTGCGGTGACAACCCTTAGCATGGCTGGCCCTTCTCCCTGCGGGCTGAACTGCTGTGGTCACTCACGTGGCTTTGCCCTGGAAAGTGAGGCCGAGTGAGGAATTCACTTTTTGGCGTGCCAGAAGCTGCCCGGGGTCACGCTCACACCTCTGAGGGCAGCAGGAGGCAGAGGACGGGGCCAGGGGAAGGAGAAACGTGCTAAATGGTTTGGTTTCTGTACAGCCAGGCCTTAAAAAAGGATCCTTGCCCCATGCTCCTTGGGGGCAAGGCATGGTCTTCCCTCTTTCTTCTCCCACTGCTCCTTGCTGCGTATGAACCAGCCCGGCTGAGCGCAGGGGTGAGGGCTCTGTCAGCTCCAGACCCTTTTTCCCTGCCCCTCTGCAGGTTTTTGTTCAGCTGCTCACCAGTTGCTAGGATTTTGTTGTTGTTGTTTCCTACGTCGCTTAAATCGTTTTCACTGATGAGAGCATCTGCTGCCATCTGTGCCTCCCCCTCCTTCCCTGCACCGGTCCGGGCGGCGAGCTGGGTGCTGCAGGATCTGTGCAGCACGATCCTGCCCCGAATACCGGCATGGGGAGGGGAGCAGAGGCAGCTCCATCAGCACCCCACTTCTCCCCCTGCATCTGCAGGTCTGCAGTTCCAGCGGTGCCTCGGTGCCCAGCTCCCAAGCCCGACCAGGACCCAGTGGCACTTGGCGTGGCTGCAGCTCCGCGAAGCCCAACGAGACAGCTTTGAAAACGCAGTGGTGAGGGGACTTTGGGAAGGTCCCCCCTTTGTGCTGTAATTTGGGTGTGGATGCAAAATTGGGGGCTGGCAGCTCTGCCCCCGTGGGAACGCAGAGCTGCTGGGCCGGGCTGGGAGGTCGCTCCCCGAATGAGCCGCCAGCGCCACGCTGCAGCTTGCCCTATTTATCACAGCCAGCCCGTGTAGACGTAGGAGAGCCACGGGGTCACGTTTGCTGCCGGGAGGAAATCCAAACCAGTTTAACCCAGCTGGGATTTGCCTGCGAACTGGCTCGGCAGCCTTTGCACGGAGGTGGCATCACCCAGCCCGGGGCTTGCGTAAGCGTGGCCGTGTTTGCTCACACACCAGGGCACCCACACCCCTCTGCCCCGTGCGGCCTCGCAGGGTGATTTCGAGAGGTTCCTGGTGCCCAAAGCCACCTTCTCGTCCTCCTCGGTTTGCTGGCGGGGCTGGGCTGCAGGGATCACGGCGGAGCGGTGTGCGGGAGCCCTCTGCCTGCATCCCGCAGCACGGCTGCAGGCAGGCAGGAGCTGCAGCTCCTCGGTCTGCAGAGACCACAAGGAGCAGATGTTGGTCTGGGAAGGACCTCGTGGTGTGTAAGAAGTCAGCTCCGTGTCTCCATCAGCCCCTGCTGGGTGGTGGGGATGCTCCGAGGTCCCCCCTGAAGCCGTTTCTTCTCCAGGCTCAGCCTCTCCTTCCCTCACCAGCCTCGGCAGCCTTTCCTGAGCCCCCACCAAAAGCCTGTCATGTATGGGGGCCCCAAACTAGGAGCAATATTTTAGGCACCACCTAACAATACTGACTAGTGGCAAATAATCTCCTCCCCCCCCCTCCTTCCCATTTCCCCCCTCTTGAGCTAAAGAAATAGAAAAAAAAAAGAAATCCTCATCAACCTGCCAAGCTAAATTTCCTGGAGGAATACAATTAAATCTCCATGTGGCAATGCGACCATCGCTCCTTCCCGATACCAAACGGCTTCCCAAGCATCTGATGGCTCCTCTCTTCCTCCCCCTCCGCTTGGTTTTCACTCCTGCTGCTGAATGCAACAGAGGCTGCGGCTTCGCAGCCAAAAAAAGGTGCGAGCTGGAGAGCGCCCAGCGAAGTTGTGAGTGGCAGAAGTGAAAAGGCAGAGAAGCAGCCCTTGAAATCCTCCCTTCTGTTATGTTGGGTGGCAGCCTTGGCAAACCCTGAAATTCCAGAATTTTCCTGTACAATTGGGAAAAAAGAAAAAAAAAAACACACGATGAGAGTACCTGTCATATTTGGCTGCTGCTTTTCTTTCCTTTGTTCCCTCAAAGATAAAAATAAAAGATAAAATCAGAAATAAAATAAAATAAAATAAAACAAAACAAAATAAAATAAAATAAAATAAAATAAAATAAAATAAAATAAAATAAAATAAAATAAAATAAAATAAAATAAAATAAAGACAGACCCAACCAATTTTCAGGGTTGCAGCGCACCTCAGCCCCGCCGCAGCACACTTCAGCCTTGGCACAGAGATGCCTCGTACAAGGTGGGTGTTGCCAGCAACAAATAATAAACGTGAGGGCTGCTGATAATAGTCCACCCTGTCCATCCCTGACAGTTTGTGCATGCAAAAATGCTGCGGAGTCAGTGCTGTGCTCCCCCTGGTTCATTAAAGAGGCAGTCCGTCGGGGGAAGATGCTGGCAGCCCATTTGTCACGCCGGTTAAAGGCAGGAGAGGCTGCCTTTGGGTTGCTTCCCATTTTGCCAGCTCTGATTTTACCTGATTTTCTATATTACTTTTTTTTTGCATGTGCCGAGCAGGGTGAGCGGTTGGGGCTGGCTCCCTGCAAAACCACCACAGGGCTCGCAGCGGGCGATGCGCTTCCCCAGTTTTTGCTAGTTCAGGAGGTGCCTCCTGCTTTAGTCCTGCAGTGACACCTAAATCTGCCCCACACGTTTTGGGTTTCAGGCCAGGCCTTGCCATTCATTTGAGGCATTTTTCTCTTTCTCTTCATGCGCAGAGCAGGAGAAGGGAGGACAACCCGAGGAGCCAGCGCAGCAGACCAGACATCGGAGGTATCTTTATTGACCGTCTTACAGAAGTACAGCAGCACTCGGTTTAGGGGGTGTGCGACTTCCCCAGAAGGTGCCTTCCTTCTCAGCACTGTGGGGCCATCCCAAGGAGAAATCTGCCCTTAACACACTGGGCTTCATCCGGAGGCTTTGGGGCTCTCCGGGGACAGTAAGTTATTTCAACCGGCGGGTGAAATTCAACAAAGCTGCATCAGAAAAGGAAAATAAAAGGTATGTGGAGGGGTGGTGGGCAGCCTGAGCACACCTGACATGCTCTGAGCCTTGCCATCCCTTGGGGTTTTGGGCACGTTGCCTTCCTCCCACCACCTTGCACCCTGGCTGTGCCCCCAGCCCCGGCTGCAGCCCACAGAGCCCCAGGGCCATACTGGCAGCTGCAAGCCACACTCAGCTCTCAGCTCTGAGTGCCCTCGTCACACAGCTTTATTTGCCATAAAATAAGCTTTGCTCAGTCTGCCTTCCTCCCTGCACCACTGTACCAGCGAAACCCTTTCCTACAGCAGCCCAAATGCTGTCTATGGCCAGGAAGAGTAGGCTCAGCTGGGCTGATAAACTCATTTAACTTTTATTTATGTGTTTACTTGTTTGTTTGTTTGTTTTTAATCAAGGTGGAGTTGTTTTTATTTTTTTGTGTCCTTGCTACAGGAAACAACTGCAGACACTTCTGGCATAGAGGCATCCTGGCGGCGGCCGCTGCTGCTGGCCTGGCGCTAGTAGTCGGTGAGGGGGTACCGCAGGAAGATGAAGATGAGGATGATGCAGAAGGTGGCGAGGGCTGAGCTGGTGATGTTAAAAAGCCGGGCAGTCTTGGCATCTTCCACAGCCCCGTTTAAGTCATTGAGGAGCTTCTTATCCCGGACCTGAGACAGAAAAAAAGAAAAGAGAAGTAATTGGGAGATGTATTGTGTTACTATGCGATACAGGAATTAAGTAATAAAAAATAACAGTGCATCCCCAGGGAGAGCTGGGTGCTGCGACATCCTCCCCACTGTGCTATACCATTCTGTCAGCTCCGGGGCTTGCATCACCTGGGCCATAAGCTGGTGTTTTGGGGCGTTTGGGTGCCCCCTGCTGCACCGAGGCGCCCAGCGTGCAAAACTGGTGCAGGATCCGACCACAGCTTGAGGGTGGGCTGGCAGCCCTGGGGTACTGAGCCCCTTCTGCAGCTCTCCTGCAGCTGGGGGCATCTCCACCGATGACTTCCAGCCCTATAGCACGGGTGCTGTCTGGTTATCCTGCAGGCTGGGACACCCGCGGGCTCATCTTGGTCTCCGGCTGGGTGTGTGGCCACACTCCTCCGGGCTGCCAGGCAGGGGACAGGGTCACCAGGCAGGGGATGGGGTCACCATGCAGGGGATAGGGTCACCAGGCAGGGGACAGGGTCACCAGGCAGGGGAGGGGGATGCCAGCAGCAGACCCCAGCCCAGGGGTGCTGCCCACCCCTTCCTAGCAGGGCTCCGTGCCCCTCTCCAAACCCGCAGCCAGCCCTTGGCAGCTGGAGCGCAGAGGCCATGGGGTGGAAGGAGCAGGGCCTTTTGCTCCTTTTTGCCTTTCCCGCAGCAGGGTGGGAGCATCCTTGGGACAGTGCCTCCCTCTGAGCCCCCAGGGCCGTGCCGCCCTCACAGCCTGCTCTTGCTGGGGAGCAGGAGCGAGCTGAACGCTAGGTGTCGGTGGCAGGCTGTGAAATCCCGCAGCCAGCCCCAGAGTCCTCCTAGAAACATTGAAAGCCTTTTATCGACCGGGAGCTTTCTGAAAACATCCTGCGACGCATTCAGACCACGTCTCAGCCACTTTTTTTTCTTTTTTTTCTCTTTTTTTTTTTTTTTTCTCCATCCCTCCCGCAGTGCTGTCCTGAAAGCCTGGTGCCGCTTGCCCAGCACGGGGGCGGGCAGCAGAGCCCCTCGGTCCCGCTGGGCCGTGCTGCTTCGAGGGACCGAGTCCTAAAGACGGTGCTTCCAGCTTTGGAGATGGCCCCAGGGATGGCAGCAAGCCTTCAGCGGCCCCTTTTTGGCAACCGTGTGTCTGGGATGACTCGCCTTGGGAACATTTCTGGGGATTTCGCATCCTCCTGAAGGCCTGAGGAGATGCCAGAGCCCCTGCAGCACACGAGCATGAAGAAAAGGTGTTTCTTGCTCCAAACTGGTTGTGGTTGAAGCCTGGAAGCTGTCTCCTTCCTTCCCAAGGCGGGGACAGGTCTGCCAGGGTCACACCCCCCCCTCTGAGCCCAGATGTGGTGTTTCCTTAGTCACAGTCACTTTTCTCATCGTCATTTCGACCTTACCACCTTGCTGGAAATTATTTGGGGGTTATGGCCTTGCTTCCTAGGGAGATGACTGATGGCTCGGGATGCTTACCCTGCACCTGCTGACCGCAGGGCTCCACCAGAGCACTGCACGGTGGCTCTCTGGAGACCCTGCCAAGGCAGAGCTTAGCTCTGACCCAGTTTGGCAATTTCTGCTTCCCTTCTCCGTGCCACCAGCACAAGGCGGTGGTGGCCTTTCCTCCACCCCTGCTCACCTACCGCCTCCCTGCTGCTCACCTTCTGCTCCTCCATCCCCAGCGGGCTGGTCCCCAAGGGCTCTTTCTCTCTGCTCTCCCACCTGCATCCCCTGCCCTTCATTCCCTTGGGGTTTTGCCTTCACCTTCCTCTCCAAGCGCTCTCCTTGGCTCCCACGGCCCCGCTCCTCCCCTCAGCTCCTTCAGCCCCACTCCACGCCTGCACCCACCCAGGCGCCTCTCTTCCACCGCACGCTACGTGCAAGCCCCCTTTTGCATCCATCCCTGCTGCTTCCCGCTCCCTTTCCCACCTCCTTTCCCTGCTCCCAGGCTCAGCCCCTCTCATTTTTAGGAGCTGAGAGCTTGCCGGGTGGGTGCAAAGTGCTGCGTCAGCTTCCCGAAGGAGACAAATGGTTTGTTGATAACGAGTCTAAAGAGGCCGTATTTAAGGCAGCCTGACGCTTCGCATTCAGCCAGCAGCTGGTTGGATGGGTGCTTTGGGAAGAGGCTGGTTTGCCTGTAAACCCGTTCCCAAGCAGGGCTCTGCTTCCCTCTGCATAAGGAGCTTTTTGCTCCGGAGGGCATCCTTGGGTTTATTTGCTCTGTGGATCGCCTGGGACCTTTCCAGCCCACGTTTTGCCCTTGTGCCATCACCTGGCTCTTGCCCTCAGTTTCTCTCCCCCCAAAAAACTTTGCTCCTCCTGAAGAGCAGGCTGAGAGCCCACCTGGGAGGCACTCCCTGCTCCTCAGGGATAACAAATACCTGGGATTTCTGCCAGTCCGCTTCCACTCGAGAAGGTCAGCGGGCAGCAAGAGGGGACAGCAAACAGCAGCACCCCCTGGCAGGGTGCTGAGGGGCAGGCAAGGAGAGCTCGTGTGGCTGTGCCGGGCCACCCTGCATCTCCAGGCGGCAGGAAAACTCTGAGAGCAACCCCACGGGCTGAAGGAGCCACGAGAGCTTCTTGCTTCCTCGATCTCCTCACAGCCCAAGCGAAGCTCCCTGATCTGCTTCCAGCGTGTGCTGAAATGGGTGGGAAGGCGGCCGCGTGCTGAGGCGCTGGCTGGAGCAGCCTCCGGGGCATGGAGGAGCCCCTGATTTATTAGCAGCATCAGCAAGGTGAGAGCAGGTGACGTTCATGGCTGCGTGCCGTTTGTGATAACAAAAGCAGTCCTTCCTGAGGTCTCCAGATGCGTGAGTTATTTAAGGGAAATGGAAAAGCCCTCACCGGGGAGCTGTGCCATGCCACCAGCGCACAGACTGCAGCTTGACCAGGAAACCTGGGCTTTGCTGGCCAGGGGCTCTGCCTTCAGAGATCCCAGGGAGGGCTCGGGGAGGGGAAGCCCTGCCAGCACCCTGCTCGGGCCCTACAAAGCACAGAAATCCCCCAGGAGCTGGGCTGCAGCTTGCTGCTGCCCACTGCCCTTGTGCCTGGCTGCAGAGGGAGCCCGCAAAGCCTGGCTGGCTGCAGAAGAGATGAAAACAACAGGATTCAGGATAAGTGTCCCTAACATCCCGCCTGGTGGGGACAGCGTTACGGGAAGGTCCCTGCTGCCTTCCCCAGCACCCCAGGGGCTTCCCCAGCCCAAACCTTTTGCTGCCACCTCCGTGTCCCCATTTCTTCCCAGCCCCGCAGCAGGCTGAGGCACCAAGCTCTCGCCAGCCCTCCTGCCATGTGCCAGCTCTGACCCGTGTCCCTGAGAGACATTTTCCTGGTGTTTTCCCCTCTGGCAAGGAGTCCCAGATGCTGGAGAGCTCCCAAAGCAGAGCAGGACAGCTTCTATGTGCTCAGCACTGTCTGTGCACGGACCACCATGGCCACCCCGCAGTTACTGCTTCCCAAAACAGCCTGCCCCAGCCATCTTTTATTTTCCTCTCCCTGATTCAGGGCAAATTTGCCTGTTTCTGTTCCCTGTCACCAGTTATTTGCTTTCACACCGGATTTTATGCCCTTTAGACTTTTTGCAGACGCTCTGTCCCAGGTGTGGTGCTCCAGCCCCGGGTTACTTCTGGGCTCACTTTGGGGGGAATCGATCTGTTTCCGTGGCGAGGCCGCCCCGCACGCCGGCCTCCCGCTAAGTGCTGCCGGCAGCAGGCAGCAGCCAGCCCGCTGTCCCCGAGCTGTCACCAGCGGGACTGCCCTGCAGCCCCCGGGCTCTCTGTGTGCACATTCGGGCGGTTTTGGGGCAGGACAGAGCAGCCCCATGCCCTTTCCCATAGCCACCAGGTGCTCTGGTGCCCCAATCCCACATCCCAGGCCTGGGCTGCTCCCCCTGCAGCTTTCCTCTTTTGGGGTTTTTAATGGGAGAAAGGGCAGGAAGCAACGAGGCAGGGTCCCCCTGGTGCTTGCTGGCAGCTGGGTGATGCTGGCCGGTGGTGTCCCCTTGCTCCTGCCCCACGACACGGTGTGGGGCCCGTCCTGCTGAGCTCTCTGACCACCCCCAGGAGGGGACCGAGCACCAGGAGTGCATCCAGCACGAGCTGAGCCCCCCTGCAGGGACCCCCCTATTGCTGTAGGTGCCCCTGGGGACAGCAGGGACAGCCCAGACACCCCTTCCCCACCCAAACCAACACCCCCAGCTCCAACACACGTCCCCATCCCAGCACACAGCGGGTGCATCCCCTCCCGCTGGTGGCAGGGATGTGAGGGACATCCCAAAGCTCTCCCCCTCCCCGGCCCTGTCCCCCCTCCCCGGGGCGCTCGGCACTCACTTTGAGCGAATAGGCCAGGGCGATGAAGCCGAGGCAGCAGAAGTTGAGGTACACGAAGTTGAAGATGGACCAGAGATAGTAGTCGTTGACCTCGGTGGTGTCGGGGTAGATCTCGATGACGGTGGTGGGGTTGGTCATGGTCTTCTTCTCCACCGAGTGCTTGCACGGGACCGCCGGCCGCAGGCTGTCCCCTTTGCAGCCCTTGCTCTCCATCAGCCGCGCGGCGGACGAAGGGGACAGGACGGGGGACGCCTGCCGGAGGGCTGGGGGCTTGGCGATGCAGGCGAAGCAGCCCTGGGGGGGACCCTGGGGGGGCCGGGGGGGCCAGGCCGCCCCCTCGAAGGGGCACGGGGGGCCCAGGGGGGGGTCCTGCGTCCTCTCCGTGGTGGCGGCCGCCGCGGTGTCACCGCGCTCTGCCCTGGCGGAGGGAAAAAGGGGGGTGAGGGGAAGGGGAGACGGGGCGAGGGGGTGTGGGGGGCAGAGCGGAGGGGGGGACAGAGAGGGGAGATGCAGGGGGGAGGTGGGAGGCAGAGAGAGGGAGCGGGTGGCGGAGGAGAGAGCGGGCAGAGGAGCGAGGGAGCGGGCAGAGGAGAGGATGGGGAGGGCAGGAGGAAGGGGAGGGGAGAGCAGGGGACCACAGAGCCGTGGCTGCATCTCAGCGAGGGAGAAATTGGCGGGGGGAGAGGGGGGAATTACGGGGCAGCAGAGAAAGAAGGGAACAAACCGAGGCGCGGGGAAACGCTCAGGGAAGAGTGGGGGGGTGGCGGTGCTGCAGCGAGAGTTGCCAGAGAGCCGCGCAGCCCCCAGCTCCTGCCCGCAGCCCTCCGGCTGTCCAGCTGTCTGTCCGTCCATCCGTCCAGGCCTTCTGCTCCCCGTCCCATGCCGGGATGGGAGTGGGTTGCTAGAGGCCTCCGCGGGGCTTTGCCGGGCTGTGCGGCGGAGCTGGCTCGGTGCGGCACAGCAGCCGCGTCCTCCCCGCTCCCCCTCGCTCTCTCCTGCTTTGGTTTTATTGTTACTATTATTATTAATTATTGTTATTAATTTGCTGAGCCCTCATCTCTGCGGGATTCCTGACGGGGTTGCGTTTCCCAATCCCTTTCACCTGCCAGCAGTTCTCCCCCCCCCCCTCCCCTTTTGGAGAATATCGTGGCCGGAGAGGAGGAGGAAGAGGAGAAGAAGGAAGGGGAAGAGGGGACGAGGACACAGGATGGGGAAGGGGGGGTTGGGAAGAGGTTACCCTCCCCTCTAAGCCCCCCCAGAGCCGTGCAATTAGCAGAGAGCAGTCCACCTCTCGCCGCCCGTCTGTCCGTCCATCCGTCTCCTCGGAAGGCATGGGGAGGAGAGGCAGGGATACTCACGGGGAGGGATGCGGGGAGCCGCAGCATATCCGGCTCAGCACTGCCTCTTCCTCACTGCTGGAGCCGGGGGAGGAGGGGACGGCAGCGCCGGGGGGGGTCCCCAGCAAGGGGGGGCATGCAGGAGTGGGGTGGTCAATGGGCAGCACCCCCAAATGTGCTCCATGCAGGAGGGCGATGAGGACACAGCGTGGCAGGAGCAAAGTGGGGCAAAAAGTGCCATCTGTGCCCTTGGGTGGATGGAGAAGGGATAAATCCTGCGGGCACCGAGCACCTCATGGGGTTGGCTGTGGGATGCAGGGCGCGCGGCCACATTAGGGGAGGGTGGTGGGGGTGTCACGAAGGCTGGAGTTCACCCAGGAGGACCTGGCCATGCCCAGGCTTGGCACGGGATCAGCAAAAGGCTTTTGCCTCCGGTTGCCAACCATCCTGGGAGCCAAAACTTGGGGTGCTGAGGCTGCTTCCCCTGGGGATGTGGTGTTGGAGAGCTGTGGGTGCGGCTCAGGGACTGGCGTGCAGGACATTGGGAGGACGTGGCGGTGGCACGGGGACACACCATGCCACCCTGCTGCCCAGCCCCGTGCAGGTGGCTTTGCAGGTGGCAGCTGGGGCGCCAGGGAAGGACAGCAGAGAAATCCCAGAGAAATCCTACAAATGGATTTTTTCTTTTTTTTTGCAGGACTTTGCAAGGCTTGTAAAGAAGCCGGGTAAAATAAAAGTCTACGCGAGCATTACCTGCAGGCGAAGGGAAATCCTCTGTAAGTGCTTTAAGCCTACCCTCAAAGTGCTGAGCTAAGAAATAGTGACTGATTCACTTGGCTTTTTGCTACCCACAGCTGTGCAGAGCATCCTTCCTCCAGGAGGAACTGGTGAAACCCCGGGTATGCGGATTGCTGACTGCCCGAGGAGATGCTGCTGCCCCATGCAAGCAAGGAGAAGGTCCCAAACACCACGCTGCTGGGTGTGTGTGTGCCAGAGGAGAAACCAGCTGGAAAGCCAACATCCTGAGAAGCAGTCCTGGCTGTGAACTTGGGGACTAAACCCTTTAAATGAGCAGGATTGCAATGAATTTTGGATTGTACCCTTAATTCCCCTCCTAATGGTAATGAATTGCAAGGTCCTGGGTATTGGCTAACCATTCAGGGCCCCAGAGTGAAAAGTCAATCTTCAGCACGGTAAAAAATGATCATCAGGGAGCCACGTGGTCCCCCAGAAAATTAGCATCTTTAACAGTCACTAATGAACTGGAAAATAAGGTAAACGACGAAGGGAAAACATCAGCAGATGCCATTCATTTGGTGTAGCCAAGCCTGGAGAAGGCTGTGGGGATATCAGCGAGGTCAAAGCCAGGCGGCTAAGGGATCAGACCTCAGCACGGCTGACTCCCAGCATTGATCAGAAGGAGGGAACAAAGCTTCCTCTTGCTCTGTGATCCCCCAAACCTCAAATCCCATTCATGCCTTTCCCCTGAAGCGTGCAGGACTGCTGGCCCAGATGGGGCACAGCCCCATCTGTGTCTCCGGTCCTCCTCCTTCATCGGCTCCTCCACCTGCAGACAACAGGTTTGCACCAGCTGAAGATGAGCCTGGTGTTTATTTGCCTTGCCAGCATTGGGTACTGCTCCTCTTTTTAGCGTCAGGCAGGGATGGAGGGCAAGGAGAGGAGGAGACGTCAAAGAGGGGACCTGGAAGAGGTGGGAGGAGGTGGCAGGCTGGTGCTGGGGAATGTGGCACGGCCTGCCGTGAATGGGATGCTTTAAAAAATGATGTGGAGAATAAAAAAAAATTAAAAAAAATCTGCGTTATTTGAACACTGCTCCTATTTTCTATGGGTCTTTAAAGTTCACATTTACAAGCCCTCCACCTTGAGCGCTCTGCAACAGAAAGATGTTTCCTGCCCCAAAATAATTCTCCTGTAATGGAGCCGCTCAGGGCTCACTCCTACTCTCCCTAGGAAAATCCCCAGTGGGTTGCTGAGCCTCATCAGCAGCAAGGTGGTCTGCATGCCTGGGAGGGTGAATCCCATCTCCCTGCTCTCCCTTGGTTTCTCTCTCCTGTCCTCTGGTTTCAGTCTGTGCTGCACTCCTTTTCCCCTCCCAAAGGAACCTAAAAATAAACAGATCAAAAAAAAGAGCATAAAAAGGAAAAGTCACCAGCCCCAAACAACGTGCTTAGTCATTCGCAGTTATTAAAATAGTTTCTAAAAGCAACAAATTGCTGCGCCAGCCAGAGGAGCACGTTACCTCCATCAACGAGGGGCCTGATCCTTCCTTTCCTGATGGCCTGCGGTGAGGGCAGGTCCCTCGGGAGCAAGCTATAAAGTTGTCAGAGGTGGGGTTCGGCAGGGATGTTGCAGTAACCCAGGGGGCTGATGAAAACCTGAGCGTTGGCTGGGCAAGATAACACAGGGCTGAGGCTGGGCTGCCTGTGGGGGTGTGTGCCCTGCTGGAAAAGCATGGGAGGACAGTCCTGGCTCTCCAGCTCTTGGCCAAGATCGAGCCTGCGATTGTTCCTGCTGAGGTGCAACGTTCAACACTCACAGCGTGATTAAAGGCTCAGGCACGATCCCCACCCTTCTATCAGTGACATCTCCTCCCCTTGGGCTACTGAGGAATGGCAGGCAGCAGGATTGGTTTTTGGGACCCAGCTAGCCCCTTTGGGGTTAGATCCATCCCTTTAACAGAGGACAATGACTGATTGGGGTATTGAGGCATCCTGGGGGAATAGAGGCTCGGGACTGCCAGCAAGGAAATCAGTTAAGCTCTCCGCATGCTTAGATCTGTGCTCAGAAAATAGGATGGTACTTGGCTGCATCTGCCTTGCTTATGTAGATGATGCTTTTTTTTCAGAGTAGGGATTAGCTCTTATCTTGCACCTGGCACATGGGGCCTGCGTTCTGCATTAGAGACTCCAGTTCCCATACGGCGGCACTAGGACTCAAAAAGCACTCAGTCAGACAAGAGGAAGGGATTTTTGCTGTGTTTTGAAAAAAAACAAACACAAAACAACCCTGTTTGTCATCACCAGACTCTGGGAGTGTGAACTCCATGCCCGAGTGGGTTTCAGGCTGGAATCAGAAACTAGACTCCTGCTTTTGCCACTATAGGGCCACGTTTTGTCCCAAGCCCAGCAGGAGTTTGTCCTAGGCAGCCTGGATGACCAGGGAACCAGCCCGTGGAGTTCACTTCACCCTACAGCTGCTTTCATTACATTGGAACATAAAACTACAACAGCCTCCCAGCATGTTTCCTGGTCAAAGAGAAGGAAAGGACATGTACGAGTCCACCCAAGAGAGGCACCAGACATACTGACCCAACAGACAGGGAGGCAGGTGCTTGACATCAAGAAAGGATTTAGCCCCTCAAACTGCTCAAGGAAAGACGAGACTCAGTTAAGGGGGAAAACACTGTATTTCCTTTTCAATTTCCTAGGATGAGACAGTAATTCTGACAGCAAATTAGATTAAAAAAAGTCACGCAGTTAGAGTTTGGTTTAAAAATGCAGATAAAAGAACAAGGGGAGGAGACCCAGCTCAGTGCAGGCTATGATTTGTACAGGCAAATGCAGTCACATCAGATGAACTGCTCCTCCAGCCTGCCCTACAAACGATATGTCACCCAGGGCATGGTTTTGGGCCATGCTCCATCCTCAGGCAGTCACCCCTGGCTGAGGACAGGCACCAGCCCAGTGCCAGGTTCCCCTGGAGGCTACCCCGAGAGCATCATGAGGCATTGCAGCCCCCCAGGACCGCTGGCTGATGGCACAGTTCTGCACTTCCCACTGAGATCTGATGCAGAACACATCCCAAACCCACCGCCCACGCCACACCAGCTCTGATTAACAGGTACCCAGATGCCATCTCGCTGTGCTGGATGAATCCTGCAGCTCAGGGATTATTCAGCAGGACCTCGAGGTGCTCAGGGCACTTAATGCGGAAAGTGTGCTCTCTGGAGAGGTGCTGGAATAGCCTGTTGATTTTACAGCATCTATTTTTTTTTTTCAGTAGCATGCTGTTCTGTCTGTAACAGATGTCCTCAGGCATCCAGATCCAAGGTACAGGTCTAAGAGCAGGCAAAAGCAAGCTTTGGAAGCAGCAGACATCACACCCAGGGTTACACGGGACAATGGATGCATTAGGAGTGTGCTCAGGTCTGTCCCTACTGCCCATGCCAGACCCCTCCATGGCATGAGTTTTAGGTTACAAAGCTGCAGTAGGTGGGGACACAGGGACATCTGCAGGGTAGGTGCTCCTACAAAACCCCTAGCTGGGATTTCACCAGCTGTTCTGTCCAGTCTGGGGCCATCTCTTGTGGTGATCTGGCTCTCTTGCAACCCTCAGCTCTCCCACCTCCCTAACCTCAGGACCTGATCCAAAGCACTGGGAAACCAACATGACTGCCTTCTCTCCCTCAGCATGGACTGGGAGCCTCGTGAAGCTCTGTTCTGCTCTCTATGACTTCAGGACACCTGATCATCTTCACAGCACTTGTCTCCTTGTTCACCCAGTGTATGCCTACTGATGCCAACCCCTGTGAAGCAAGCTGCTCTGTACGTGCAGATCCTGGATCTCCAGGAAGAAGGCATGAATGTGAGCACAGCTTCAGCTCCCACCTCCCCAAAGCAGGCATGCACCTCACTTGGTCTGCAGCACAGAAGGTAAATGAACAGAGCTCTCACTATTAATTACATGGGAATGACATACCAGGTACAGGGGTGTTAAAACCTGGGTTTTGGGACTGGGCAGTGGAAGAAGGAGCAAATGCAAGCCCACAGCCTCCATGGCACCCTCCTGCCTGGAAGCCTCGCTGCCTTTGCCAACTGTCTCTCAAGTCTGGGGCAGTTAAACACCGAGGACAACGTTTCCAAAAGTCTCATGTGATTTAAGCTTGTAGATCACTTAACTGCTTTGGGAAACATTACCTTCAACTCACTGCCTCCAGCTGAAGTTAAGGAGGAAAAACATGGAAGAAATTCACCAAACCCAAGAGAACTTGTGCCAAGTGGCTTTGCTCAGCCTCCAGAAGACAGCTGGACTTTTAGGGACATGAAATTAAGTGACTTTTATTAAATATTGTGACCCCCCCCTTGTATTCTTACTCCCTGAAGAGTCCCATTGGTTGGAGCCCCCCCTACAAACCCCTGCCCTGTTACATCTAAAAGGCTGGAGCCAGGCACGCTCGCATCACACCCCCAGCTCTCACTAGTGTCATCACAACACAAAAGACACACTAACAGAGCCTTTGGACTCCAAAATTCAACCCCTGTGCATGCTCCATGTTCCCCCACTGCTCCAGCCCAGGATATGCTCTCTCAGGACCAAGTCAGCGCCAGCTCTGGGCCTGTTCAGCCTGGAGAAGAGGAGGCTGGGGGGGGACCTCATCATGGTCTACAGCTTCCTCACAAGGGGGAGTGGAAGGCAGGTGACCTATCCTCTGTAAACACCAGTGATAGGACCCACGGGAATGGTGTTAAGCTGAGGCAGGGGAAGTTCAGGCTGGACATCAGGAAGAGGTTCTTCACCGAGAGGATGGCTGCACACTGGAACAGGCTCCCCAGGGACGTAGTCACTGCACCGAGCCTGTCTGAATTTAAGTGTTTGGACTGTGCATACAGTCACATGATCTAAACTTTTGGGCAGACCTGTGCAGTGCCAAGAGTTGGACTTGATGTTCCTTATGGGTCCCTTCCAACTCGGGATATTCTATGATTCTATGAACTCATTGAGAAGAGGTCTAGCAATTGCTTCCTCACCCAGAGGGGTGAAGGACTCCTCCTTCCACTCCCCCACTTCAGTGACAAACCAGAAGTACAACCTAACACATGGGATAGCTGTCTCCATCCTTCTCCCCCAGTGAAGAAGCCCCATGCTCCTCTGCAGGAGCAGGGCCAGCCAGCTGCCTCCCCAGGAGTGAGACCAGTGCAGGGGGACATTGATTCTTAAAGCTGAACAATTTTTCTCAATCTTAAATACTGGGAGATACAACAGTAAGGAGAGGGGCTACTCCAGTGGCATTATCAGCTCAAGATGTCCCAGCACCACTTACTCAGAGGGGAAGAAGTAGCCAGCAGGGCACTAACAATGACTATTTTCCTGATTAACTTATAACCTAGTTCAATTTTTTCTCGTCCACTGACTGGGTTTCTAATCCTGGTAACCTTTCTCTACAGCTCCTGTGTGTGCAAGTGTGTGTATGGCGGAGGCAGTGGGGGGGTCAGGCGCTTAGACACATTTGGCGAAGCCCACAGAGTCGTTATCACGGTCAAAGACAGTGTAGTAGGGACCGATGAAGACATCCCCCAGGATCCAGAGTGGGCCACCAGGAGGTGGGACGTCCAGGCCTGAAAACCCACTCAGGCAGATGGTCTCTCCTTGTGCAGAAACCTAGGAAGAACGAGAACTTCAGCCAAAGCTCCCCACCTCTCCCCAACCTCAGGGGCTTGGGAGTAACACCTGCCAACCCCAGCTGCTTCTCAGCTTCACAGCCCAGGATATACAGCTTGGGAAAGCTATGAAATCTAAGAGCCACTGCTGAAATACTGTGCTAGAAGTTGATCCCATATTACCTGATGGCTGTCATACCACACCAGTAGCCCTGTGAGGAGGCTGGCCTAATGCTACCAGAACTCAACAGAAAAGGGCAGAAGGTTTGTAGAAAGTAGAAAGTTCCATAACTGCCTGCCCTTCTTTCCTCCCAGCAACAAAGACAGCATCACATAGGGGATCTTGTTCCTGCAGGATCTTATGTAAGTTTCCTGGACCCAGCAGCCACTGCCATCACCACAACCATTCATGCTTTCCCCTCCCTGCCACCAGGTGCCTGCTCTGTCTTTGCTCTTGGGTTTTAGATTTCTTGGTTTAGCTCTAAGCAAAGACATCAAGAGTTAGGCCTTGGGGAGAAGAACAGGCTGGCAGAATTTGCCCTGGACGCACCTTGAAGACGTACTGCTCTCCAGTGAGCTGGTAGGGCTTCCCTCCCAGCGTGAGCGTGACAACGGGCAGAGATGACACCTTCTCACAGGGGATCACATACTGAAATGAAACAGCAAAGGCTTCAGATGGCAGCTCCCAAACCCTCAGGAAACAGAACAATCTCTCCCAGGCAGAACCTACATCTTTCCCATCCTCCCCAAATACTCATCTCAGGGTGCAGAAAAGGCTTGAGGCAGGGTAAGCAAGCTGCTCCTACCCCAGGCTCTGAGCAGGGGTGGGTCAGAGGATTTTAAGGATATTAAGGATTAGTTTAGGGCTGTGGGGATGGAGCCAGAGGATGCCAGGTTCAGCTCCCTGCTCTGCTGAGTCCCCAGGATCCTTCCTAGGGGCTCCCTGTCCCTCCAGGATTTCAGGGAGGAAAGACGACCTTGGGAGATTAAGTATGACAGTTAAAAACTTGGCAGGGAAGGGCTGTCATTTGCATTAAATGCATTTGTATTAAAGTGCCTCTGGACTCTCATTAACATCAATCTTTGAATCCTTGGCCTCAGCCACAACTCGCACCCCTCTGCCTCCTGCCTCCCAGAGGGGTGGCAGGGGTGACCCAAAACCTCCCAAGGATCACAAGACCCAGGCCCTCCTGTTTGTCTAATCTCCACCCTGAAGGACAGAGGGGTCCCTGCTATGCAGGGAACTTTTAGAGGAGCACAGGCTGGGATCAGGGAACAGGGGAAGCAGCAGACCTGGTGTCTCTAGAAGCATCTGGGTGCAACACACACAAAGCAGGGAGTCTGCAGGATGCCACAACAGCCACAGACTCTTGCTGTGCCCTCCCCAGCCTCACCTGGCCCTTGATGAGTGGTTTCGCACCGATGGCTGTCTGCAGCTCCTTCACCTCCTTGGTGGGGCCGGTGATGAGCGAGGTGCCCGTGTCCACGATGGCCTCGCAGCCCCCCTTACACAGAGTCAGCCCGTTGGCAACGTCCACCCTAGGGAGAGATGCCCAGAGAGGAGACAACATCTTACAGATGTCCCAGCATGAGCTGCAGCAAAAGAAGAGCTGAAAAGGGGCAAACTGAGCCCAGGCAGAAGGGACATGCATGGAAGGCTGCACCAGGTACCTACGGAAGGTCTAAGGGAAGGATGAGTGCTCAGAATTTTGATGCAGCACAGGTTTGTTTCTCTACCGTGCCTCCAATTAAATGAGGGCCTTGCTGCATGTTTGTGTTTCTGCAGACGCCCTGGACTGCTATCTGCATGCTGGTGCAAGCACCACAGCTGACGGGCACAGGGACAAGCTAAGGGTGATAAACGAGGGGCTCTCACATCCTGGTGCTTCTCCTGAGTTTGTGCTACTGCTAAAAGCAAAGGGTTAACCAGGTGCTGAGACAGCTTTGGGGGTTGTGGGCAAGGGAAGGATTCACATACATTAAAAAGGCAGGAGAGGAGCTGCTTGGCTTCCTTGCCTGCATCACATTTCACAGCAGTGCAGACAGATAAAGCCCTCCAGCCTTGATCTCTGCAGGCTCTGCCAACGCAGCGTGGCTTGGGGAAGATGAGAACTAAGACCCTGCGCCAGGAAGGGCAGCGGTCCTTGGGAAAGAGGCACGCACTGCTCACAGCCTGCTTCTCAGCTCCCATCACGTGGGAGAGCTCAGAATAGACAGCGGGGCTCGCCCGGCCGGCAGCCCTGCTCCCCTTCCCCCTGCCTCCAACAATGCATGCTGATTGCTGCCGTGCCCTTCAGGCAAGGGCTGCCTTCCTGGGGCCTCATCCTGCTCCTCCGCAGCTGCTGGCAAGCAGCTCAGCGAAGTTTAACACATGGGAAGCCTTCAGGCGTGAGGAACACGGGGCTATCTGCACACACAACAGGACTTACGCATCCATGTGGACCTGCCAGTAGGCTTTGCGTGTGACGTTCACCCAGCTGAAGTCGCCGCTGTAGTATTTGGGGTCAGTGCCCCCAAGCAGCAGCTCGCCGCCTGGCTGAGCTGTGGGGTCTCTGCAAGAAAGGCCAAAAGTCACCAACATCAGAGGCAAGGTGAGGAAAACCCCTCCAGGTGTCCCCAAAACACACACCAGGGCATTTGGGGGGTTTATAGCAGTGTTAGTAGCACTGGAGACAGACAACTGGTACTGAACTATAATATGTCAGTATAAGGACAGGTACTCTGAGATAGGCTGAGGTGAGGAAGAGGAAACTGGAATATTTTCCTAAGCACACTGCAGAGGTTAACTCTGCCCAAGTCTGCTGCAGCCGGCGGCCTCAGAGCCGGATCCTCAAGGTTACTGCCAGATAAAAGATTGCTGCTGAGCAGATGGGAAGAAATATGGCAATGGGGGAGGGATGGCACTGGAACTGCCAAAAGCAGCCCTCTCTGTCCTCCCCTCTCCAGACCTGCTACTTTTTTTTGGCCGAAGTGGGTGCTCAGAGTGCCCTGGGGTGGGCAGCACTGTGGGGAAGGCACTACAAAGCTTTCCCAGTGCAGGAAGAAGGATCAGCCCCACCAACAGTGCTTGTATGAGAAGCCAAGGCCACATTGCTTGTGGATTTTGGCTGCAGGCTAGGACTGCATTCACCCCTCTAACTCGTGCTGCTTTAGCTGCATGCAACCTCGTGATCACAACCCTCTACATTTGTTTCCTCTGGAAAGATCCTCCCTCTCTTCATCAGAAGCAGCAATCAGGTAGCAGATCTACCCAGCTTTTTAATCAGTAGAATGGCTGCTTTCCTGCTCCTTTTCCTTATTTCACACTGACAGGGAAAAGGGTTTGGCCCCCCTGCTCCAGCAAGGAGACTTGAGACTTCCCCAACAGTGCTGGCACAGGTGGGGCTTGTCTTGGCAATGGAATGTGTGACCAAACCCAACAGTACCTGTTCAGGTAGAAGGAGAAGATGTTTTTCTCAATCAGCTTCTGCTGCATGACATTATCGAAAAAAGGAGTGACCTTGTCCACAGAGATCCTGGGGAATGCCATGCCCAGGATGCCATCGAACTTGGCAGCGATGAAGGTGATGCCTGGCTGCTTCACGGCCTCCCCAAAGATCTGGTTCTTGATTTTCAAGTTCCCGAGCTGCAGGGAGGTGGGGACAGAAGAAAAATAAACATGAAGAAAATTTATCCACAGGATCAGGGTGGAGAGGCCTTGAACACAGGCTCAACACACCACCATGCTTTTGCCCTTGCATCAAAAGGCAGACATCCTGGTGCCACTCTGCTTGGGGGGGGACAGTCCACTCTGATCACCCAGTGGCACCTTGAGTCCCTGCAAAGCCCAGCATGTCCCCAGGGGCAGGAACTCTGCTCACTGCCCACCTCACTCGGCCCTTTCTGCCTCCTGCTGAATGGCCATGCCATTTTGCAGCTCTTCCTCATTGCACAGAGGGCACTATCACCTCACATTCCCCCTACAGCCCTTCTCTTATTGCCTACTGCATCCTTTCCTCCCAATTTGAGCATCTCTTTGCTGCATCATTCCTCAATCTGGGCTTTTGCTAACTCATCTGTGTCCCACCTCCTTGGATGCCACGTCCATACTCAGCTGGGACCCCAAATTCTCCTCACCTCTGCCAGACCCACAATCATCCCAGTATAAGGGATATTCTCAGAGTATCACTTAGCTTCCAGGAAGATGACCAGCTTGCAGAGACCTCCCCTGGCAGGGGAACACCCAGCCCAGAAAACAAGGTTGGCACAAAAGCAGTAATCAGAGCAAGGTGAACGCAAAGGTCGTGTCTATCACCAGCCATGAGGAGGACTGATGTTCTCTGCTGGAAAAGCTGAAACACCTCTCCCCCCTCGCTGGGGGCAGATCCCCAGGAAGAAGGAAATTGCAGAAAGCTGTCCTGTTGGCAAAGCAAGCCCAGCTTCTGGCTCACCACAAGCAATTTTAGCGTCTGTGCTAGGATTCCAGCAATTGTCCCTGTAGTAAACAAGGCTGGACTGAAATGCTTGGTCTCTCCCACCTGATGGCAGATAACGATCCCTGTAAATGACAAACATCCCCTCAGGGTCTGACAGCCTGTGACCAGGCAGGCAGCACTGGCTTTAATGGTATCTGCAGCTTCGAAAGGGCAATTCAGCCTTGCAATAGCTAAAGCCACACGGCAGGATGTGGTCCAGAGCAGCTCACAGTAATACATCCGCTCACAAGTCCTAGAGATCGCAAAAAGCCATTTCAAAAGGTTTTGCCTCCTGAAGCTGAAATGCAGAGGCCCACTCTCTACCTTGGGCAGCCACCCAAAGCTGGTCCTGCTGCAGCTCAGAAAGCTCAATAAGGCTTCCACTGAGGGAAAACAGACTGATAAGCCCGGGTTTGTTTGAAGTCCTCCTCAAGAATGCAGAGGAATTGAAGAGGGAGGCAAATAGCAGCCTGGCAGAGGGGTCTCAGCAGGCTTGTTCAAACTCTGCTCCTGCTCAGTCCTGAGCAGGACTGAAATCCAAGTGCATAATAAGTGGAGCGCTGGTGCCAGATGACAGATCTGTTGTCTCCATCACTCAGCTGGCTCTCAGCCAGACACAGAGTGGCCACAAGCTTTGATCAGTTGAAGCGTGAGGTGAGCAGTGAAGGCAGATGAAGGTGAAGGCACCCAGAGGCCACTAAGACAGGGCATTAAGAGAGCACCTCCTGCACCCATGGGTGCTTCCTCTGCTGTCCTTGAAGGACATCCTAAGGTTGGGCTTCAATCACAGCCAGGGTTCCCCATCAGCAGAGGTCTGACTGGACCTGCTCTTTGGGAGGGCAAGCAGCGCAGTGCCATGGAGCACCACAGCCATGGAGGCTGGAGCTCAGCACCAGCTTTGAACGAAAGTCAGGGCTGAGGGGCAGAAGGACTCAGGGCCACCCACCAAGCAGTGCCTTTCGGTAGGATATCAGTACTACCACATGCTTCTGGGGCTCTTTCCACCCATTTGGACAGCTGGAGCTGAGGCAGCAACCCCAAAGGCTGTTTCAAAGTCTCTGCACTTTGGAACCGCACCAGACTGTGATCTCGCCTACGGAAAGGAAGCAAGGAGCCAGCAGTGGAAGCATCTTGACATCCAAGCTGAAGGTCCCTGAGCCCGCCTTGCTCCCCTGCACCAGAAGGGTGATGCTGCCCAGGACCCATCAAGAGGTGTCTTTTGCTCCTGCCCAGACAGAAACCAAATGCTACCAGCCGTGCTGTTTGCCGACAGCCGTCCCCACTCCCCCAAACAAGCTCCGGCACAAAATCCTTCCTCTGTGCTGCTGGGAAGCAGAGAGCTAATTAGCAGGCAGGCATTAGGGTGATAATTACAGAAAAAAAAGCTGCAATTTTCCTTCTGACTCACTTCAGCCCCTGCATTAAGCCGGAAAGCGCCTAAACCAGCCCACACTTTCACAGGACAATGAAGCTTGCTGTTCGCCTCGCTGCCCCGCTCCATGACCACAGGAGCAACTTCCAGAGCTTGTCCCAGAGCACCCAGCCACTCTGCCACCAACCCTGCTGGCAACAGCAGCAAGTGGCCCAAGGCAATGTCTCTGCCTGTGTTTTATAAGGCTGGCGTAAGAAACCATTACTGCTACTTGCAAAATGTCTTTGTGCAGCAAGAGGCATGGAAAAGCTTGGGTGGGAGGCCATTGTCTTGTTTTTTCCCCTAAGCCAACCGAAGAATGCAAGAAACAAATTGCACAAAGTGAAACTGAAAGGGGCCCCAAACTGGGAGGGCTGCAGGAGGTGGAGAGCAGGCATGAAAAGCTGCTGGTGGCCCCCACGGCTCTCCCTCACAGTCCCCACTGATCTTCAAGATTCAATGAGCCCATTGAGAATTCCTCTTCCCCAGAGATGGAGCTGCACCAAAAGTGGTAACTTTTGAGCTGCTGACATCTTCATATGCAACACACAAGCCACATCCGATGTTTCAAGGCTAGCTTGATGTTTTCCTGCTCTAAGGACAAGCTACAGAGTGCTTGCTCCTTGCTTGCCCCCACCTCCAGACTCTTCTTTGGCTTGGATGCTTCTCCTCTGATCCTTATAAAATCGGTAAGCCAACACTTTCTAGCTGAAACTAACAAAACCAGAAATACCTAGATTTGTGTGCCTACTCAAAATGCTTGGTCTCCCCACCCTAAACAAACACATACTTTTATTATCCCAGCAAGTAGAGCCAAGTAACCTTGGAGCTTGCACTTGCAGCAGCTGACACACTTGAGTTCACTTGTCCCTAGGACTACCCAGAGTCCCAAGAGCAGGGTACCCACCCTTAATGGGGTGGGAAGTTCAGCCTTTGCTCGCTGAAAAGGAAATTGAGACAATAAACTACTAGCAGCCTACCAGCCAGGCTAGCAAAGAGAACACCCAAGACATTGAACATGTAAGCACCACTCCACGTGGAACGAGGATGGGGCTGGCTGTATGGTGGCAGAGCCTACTCCTGCTTGGTGTGGCCATCAGCTGCCCACAGGGATGTCTGCTGCCACGGCAGCAGCAAGGTGGGCATCCCCAGCAACCCACAGGCTGGAGCTGACGTGCACTGAGGCTGGGAACTTCCCAGGGTCAGGAAGAGGAGAAGAGCCAGAGCACATCTGCAGTACACCATATGTATGGCTCAAGCACAGTTCTGCTTTTTCTGACTCTTTGGTTAGTCCCTTCCCTGCCTGCCCTTTCTGTAGTCACCTCCTCACACCATCAAAGCACTTAGAAACACGGGGCTGAAGCACACTTGATAGGAGTGGGGCACTCCAGAAGTGAGACCCATTGAAATCAAACTGCTTTGAGTGCTGTTACCGAAAGCTGGCCGGCATGGCTGGGAGAAATGCAGCCACTACTCACCGTGACTGTGTCCTGGCTCAGGTATCCCGAGAGGCTCCCTGTCCCATAGTGGATGGCAAAATCGGTGCCGTTCTCCACGTAGGTGCTGGATTTGGAGGCATCGTACTTGTGGTGGAGCACTGCAGCCAGGGAGTGGGAAAGATGAGCATTAATTCTCCTTTATGCACCAAACAATCATCAGTCACAAGTGAAAGCCAACCCCATAAGTAACACTGGAAACACCTGCACTGCTATTTGCCTTCCTCACGTCAGCCACAAAGCCTCTGCTCCTCCGTACCCAGCCCCACAACCCCCCGGGGCACCAGGACAAGCAGAGGCTTAGCGATATGAAAGCAGGTTTGTCTGCAATGAGAAGGTCTGGGGATCAGGTGGGGAGATCCAATTTGGCACTTCAATAGGATTTGGCCACAGCACGTTAAGAGCTTGGAGTGTATGTGGCTAGTGCATCAGGGCACGTTAGGCAGCAGAGGCAGATGTCCCCATGGCTGCCCACAAGACCATGGAGAGCTGGGGGGGCTTCAAACAGTCTGCTCCAGACACAAACATCTTCAGTTTATAGATTTGTATTTTTTTGGCTAAGGCTAGCTGGAATTTTTATACAGCTATCACTTTTCTGCACATAACACAGGATTTTCTCAGAGAACTGGGGCTTCTCCCTGCCCAGGCTGCCTGTCCCTGTGAAGGGGTGGAAACTGTAACATATCCCTGTTTTGTGGCCAGGCAAGGCATGAGAGGGCTGTACGAGGAGGGCACAGGTCCAGGTTTCCTCCCTGCCCTTGACAGCCGCCGGAGGTCAGCTCTCCTGCTCGCATTTGTTGGCTCCTGCAGGGTTCTCAGCTCTGCTTAAGCTGCACAGCTGGGAACTTTTAGGTGGCACTTCGCCATAGCCAGGTTTGACACCTGCATCTGTGGAGGTTTATCACATAGTAACACCACAGAAGAGGAAAAAAGAGAAGGCATGTGATTCCTTAGATGTTCTTACCCCAGGAAAGAGCACCTACCTGGTTCTCATTAACTATAAAATCCATGAACATGTAGGCACATGCTCCATGCAGCAATAAAACAGAAACTAGGACAGTTTCTATCAGATCTGGCAAGAAGCTGATTTTTTTTCCCCCAGCATTGCGCAATGGGACAACAGTCTATAATTTGGGGAGAAACCCTGCGACCTGTGGAAGTGCTCATTGGCTCCTGGCTGCGGGACTGAGGCTGCTCAGGAAGGCTGGAGCTTGTGCGTGGGTGATGATGAGAGGAGAAGAGAAGCTTTTGGAGACAGGGCGTGAACCGGAGAGACAAGGAGGCTTGGCACCATCTCAAGCCTCTCCTCCCAGTACAGATCCTCCCTCCAGGTGGATCAGCAGGGTCTACCATCAGCACAAACTACTCTGCATTAGCAATCTGCATCTGTCCCCTCAACAGGCAGGCACGATAATGATGCAAGCCAGGGGCTTTCAGCTAATCACTGGGGTGTGGGATCTGCATTTTGGTCCTGATGTTGATGCCTACGTCATGCAGGGAAGGAGAAGCCATCCCACTTACAGCAGGCGATGTCCAGCAGGTGACAGTGCACAGACGGCACCCACAGGTTGGAGGAGCCGGTGTCGAAGACCACGGTGAACTTCTGCGGAGGGGTCCCGATGCCAATCTCACCATAATACTGGGCCTGCAAAGAGAGAAAGGGGCCTGTGAGCAGAGGTGCCCGCTGATAACAGGGCGTGCCCTGCAGAGCTGCTCTGAGCTGGGGAGATAAGCTGGTGGCAAGGGACAGGCACCAGAAGCCCTGGCCAGTACCCACACACAAGGCTGGTGGGTGTCCTGGTGGTTTGGAGGCTCCCAGGGAACACAAGAGCATGTAATAGCAAGGGGAAAATCATGGATGTCTTTCCCAGAGCTTTTTGGAACAAAAATGGGGATGGCTTCTTACATAAACATTGTCCTCCTCTCACCCATGGCAGTGACATGCTCCATAAGGGAGGCTCCCTCAGATGTTCAAGCCTAATTACAGCAGGTGGGAAAAGGATAATCAGGGAGAAGCAGGACAGGTATTTGCAGGGAGCATTTTTAGGGCATGGAGACAGCAGAAATAGGAAGGTGGGCAGGCAGAAGCGTGGTTCACAGCAGGGGAGAACAAGACAGGAGGAGGCCAGGGCAAAGCACCTGCATTGTTGAAAAGCCAGAAGAGCATGAGCTTGCTGAGAAGCTGCTGTGCTGGCAAGTCTGGGGGAGGAACTGCAAGTCACAAGCAGCTGGGCCTGCCGCAGCCACAGGGCTTTTCAGCGCTGGCTGGTGAGCCCCTGGGGTGTGTGGGAACTGAGTGTTTTGTCTGGGTGCACTCAGTTGAAGGGGAAAAATCCCAAGAGAGGATTATCAGACCTGCCTGCTCTGAGCTCACCTCCTGAACACTTCACCCTTTGGGGCTGCTCCCTGAGTAATTAATAACCCCTTGCCATTAACCTGCAACAGCCAGCGCTTTCTTCCACTACCTCTGGAGTCACCCCACCTAAAAATAACCCGCTACAAGTTTCCACTCCGCCACCAACAGCTAACATCAAGGTCAAATCCCTTCCAAGCAACAGGATGTTTAAACTCACAGGCCGCTGCCAAACAAAAATGGCCAAACCATTGCCGTGGCTGGGCTGCAGCAGACCCATAAATCCCATATGTAGAGCTGCTGGGGAACATACAGGGTGGGCAAGGTGCAGCTGTGCCTTTCCTCTAGTTAGGAGAGCTCCTCAGGCTCTGCTGGCTGTGCAAGGTCCCAGCAGCCCCTTATCTCATGTCACAGGCTCACTTTATTGCCAGCAATGTTTCAGGATGCCCCACTTTGGTGTGGGAGCTTTCCCATCCCTCTTACACTCAAGACAGCATTTTTGCTGGGCACGCTCTGGGACAGCACCTGAATCTGTGGTAAGGCTCCCCAGCAGCCCTCACCTGGAGCATCTCTTGTGCACCAGAGTGCAAGGCAAACATCCCAGCTCCAGCCAGCCCCATGCCATGGTGCAACAGGCTTTCGACATCGCTGGTTAAACACTCGCAGCCCTTCCCAGCAAGGTGCCCCGTGGGGACAGGGCTGGCCACATGACAAGCACAGGGAGCAGGGCCAGCACCTTCCCTTTCCCCAGGCAAGGGCTGTGCGTGGGACACCTGCCCGAGCAGCAGCACCTGCGCCGTGGGGAAAATCTCAGCTTTATTACCTGGGTATTATGGGATGGATGATTTTCCATGCAGAAGTGGATGGGGGGGACAAGTTTTTCACCTCCACATGACAAAGCACAGCGTGGCATTGCCAAAAACAGCCAGAAGAGGCTAGGAACACCAGCAAGCACACAGGCCCTTGCTTACAACCACCATATACAGCAATTAGGGAGAAAAGAAAATAGGTCACAGGAGCTGCAAACACAGCAGCTCCATGGCACCAAGCTTATTATTTTTAACTTCTTAATGATGTTAAGCAACTGCAAAGGGCTTGAAGTGGCCCTGCAAGCCAAAGCAAGAGGATAAAGCTCCATGCATGAAGTTTCTTTCCCTCCTTCAGCTTTCGGTGAGGCCGGGCGCCCCGCTGGGGTACTCACGTCCATGTAGTTCTTCAGGATCTCCGGCGTGGGCTCGGCCAGGTCGGCAAAGCCCAGCTTGAACTTGAGGAACTGGGTGACAGCATTCATGTCGGGGATCTCGCTGCCCACCTCGGTCAGGACACGGCGCATGGAAGGGAACTTGGTCAGGGGGATCCTGCGGGATGAGACAGCTGGTTAACAGGGGTTGCTGTGGGCTCATTATGGGATTTACACGCTCCCACTGCCTCCCTCCCTATAACCCCCTTGGGAGCACCACCCAAGCGCAGGGTGCACACGCACCAGTGGCACCCCAAACCCCTACAGGGCTCACCCACCACAAAAACAGAAGGGACGTGTGGACCCCCAAAATCCCCTCTCACACCCAAACATACGTGTGGGATGGGGATAAACCCCAAACGGGGCCACCCCCCAGCACAACCCCATGCAGGACCCCGACCCCCGAGCACTTACACCACGAACCCGCACCCCCCAGGGCCCCCCCACACCCTCTCACCGTATGAGGGCAGCGCATGGCCCCAGCAGGGCGGCGAGGAGCAGCAGCAGGACGCGGGGCCCCATGGCGGCCGCAGCTCGGAGCCGTCCCCGCTCGCAGCCGCCCGCCCCACCCCGCCCGCGCCCCCCCCTTTGTAGCCGCGGCCCCGGGCCCGGTCAGCTGACGGCGAGGGGAGGGGCGCGCGCCTCACGTGACGGTGGGCGGAGGGGGGGGGGCACCGCTCCGGCCGCCCCCCCCCCCGTGACTCAGCCCGCACGGGAATGGGGAATCAACAGGGGGAGGCTGGCACGAGATTGGTGTTAATGCTTTTTTTTTTTTTTTTCCCATTTTGTTCTTTGCTTTTTTCTTTTTTTTTTAACCCCCATTTTTCTATGTTTTCCCCCCAGTTTTTATTTTCCTTCGGTGTTTTTGCTCCTGATCCCCCCCCCCATCGACACCTCGCACTACGGGGGGGGGCATCCCTCCAGGCTGGTTTCAGTTTATTTAAAAAAATAATATTAATTTTACATTATATTCATGATTTATTTTCATTCGTTTGTTTTTATTGTGCTTTTATTTTCTTTCTTTTATTTTTGTTGTATTTTGCTTTGCTTTCCTTCATTTTTGTTTTATTCTGCTTCATTTTGCTTTGTTTTACTTCGTTTTGTAGTCTTTCACTTTACTTCATTCCATTTTGTTTTACTTTGTTTGACCTCATCTTATCTTGTTTCATTTAATTTCATTTAATTTCGTTTTAGTTCAGCTGGGGGGGGGGGGGGTTCGCAGGGTCCTTCCACACCCTGGATTGCTCACCCAGAAGGAACACCTCCGAAATTTGTGTGTTCCTCCCCAGAATACCACCTGCCCCCTGGGCTTTGTGCTGGGGGCCCCATCCCCAGCTTGCCCCCATTGCTAGGTGCCCCTTTTGGTAAGCACCTTTGGGAAGTGCCCCGTGGGCCTCCTCCTGCTCTCTCTCCCTGCCACCACCGTCCCCAGTTTGGGGCTGTGCCACAAGTGCCACCAAAAGCTTCTTGTCCAGGAGCACCCACCACAGCCTCACACCCAGCAGGCTTAACTTTTTGGGGCACTAAATCACACCATTGCCTCCCCCCCCCCCCAAAAAAAAAAAAAACAACACACAAAACCCCTTAAGCTCCTTTTGGAGAAAACAAAAGGGGCCAGGACGGCATCTTGGGGACAAAAATAAAACAAAGCTGCTCCCAGCAAATCCTTCCGCGAGCCTGGCCACGAGGTCCCGTTAGTCCGGCCTGGGCGCTGGCCAGGGCCCGCTTCCCTCCTGCCCTGCAGGCACGTGGCCGGGACGAGCGGCTGACCATGACTCAGCAGAGCCGGCACCCGTGACTCAGCAAACCCTGCTCGGCTAGGATTTGGGGACCTGGGGCCGAGGGTCCCGGTGGCCTCGGTCCCCGTTGTGTGGGTCCTGAGGCAGCAGGAGGTGTCGCGCCTGCCCCCACGCGGCCTGCTGCCTGCCATGGGGTGGGTGGGCAAAGGGCATGATCCTGATCCTTCCCAACACCGACACGGGGTGGCACCGGGCTGCAGCCCCTTGGGGTGCTCCCAGCGTCTTGTGACGAGAGGGAGAGGCACAAACCCTCCCTCAGAGCTGGAGGGGAAAGGTGCTGGCGCCACGCATGCTCCTTTGCATGCATTTCCCATCCAACTGGCCTGGCCCTGCATCGCGTGGCTGTGGGCTGTGTGTACAACAATGCTAGGGCAAAAACAAAAAAAAATATTGGGGTGTCCCCACAGCGTTTAATCTAGCTCCAGGCCTTGGCACCTATGGGTTCAGAGCTGGCAGCACTGCACCCACATGCACCCATCCCCAGTGTCACTTTGGTGCCACTCAGCACCTCCACCAGGGATGCCAATGCAAAAGGTTTTGCTCCCCCCGCAACATTTTCCTTCTCCTGTGCCATCCGAAAGCGAGTGGTGTGCAGGCACCGCCGTGGGACGTGGGCGGTGGGTGACGCACCCCTGGCAGCGGGCCACCATTTTGCAACCTCTTGCGATTCCCAAGTAGGATGACGCAGCCCCGGCGCGGGATGGAGGAGCGCCTGCTCCTGTGCACCGGGGTCCCCTCCGCAGATGACACCGGCAAGACCGGGTGGGTCCTGTGCTTCGGGCAGGCGTGGGGCGAAACGGTTAAAAACACCTGTGACTCCACATCAGCGGGTAGCCGATGTTAATGGATGCAGCTAATTAGCAGCGCCTGATTCACCAGCCCCAAGCACAGCGAGGAGCCGTGGTAACTTTTTCCCGGCTCAGTGCCAGGACCTCGCCCGTCCCCAGCGCCATTTCCTAAACCTGGTGGGAAACTCACAAAAATTCACTTTTTGACACCAAAGGAAGGGTTGAGGAAGAGCCACCCAGGATGGAGCTGGGTATCGGTCCTGTGCCATCGGTGCCGACTGGCAGGGCACACACATTAACACCCTTCTGCTGCCAGCAGGGACTGTGGTCAGCCAGGGGAGATGCTAAGTAGTGGTGCCACAGAGCTAGCCTGGGTGGCAGTTGTTCCTTTGGTGTCTTGCTGCAAACCCTAATCCCAGTGGTAGGTGAGGATATTTCACTGGTGGCCAGCAGCTGGGAGACTTGAGCTTTTGCATGCCTTCCCTGAGTTATTTTCCCTGAAAAAAAAATGGTTTTATGCAGCAAAATGCTTAGGGACATGCCTGTCTTCAAGCCCATGAGCGACCCTGGCGTCTTCACCTGTGCTGGGCTGCAGCCAACCCTTGTATCTCCTGTCCCTGTTTCTTCCGTGCCCATGGCCCTGCCCAAAGCCCCTCCACCCCCACGGGGGCTCAAGCATCCTTCCCCACCCCTGTCCCACCGCCCCCACAGTCCACCAGCTCCGGGGCCACGCCTGGCACCCACCGTGGGGATGCATCCTCTCCTCGGGGCAGGGAGCTCGCTGTGTTTGCGTCACCCCGATTTTATTTATATATTTATTTTGGCAGAAGCTGCGTGTGTGTACGGGTGACAAGAAGCCCGGCAGGCAGCTGACGGGATGGGTGGCAGGGGCAATGATGGAGTCGATTCATCACCTCCCACGCCAGGAAGCGATGGGCACCCCATGCGCCCGCATCGCATACCTTGAGCAATGCCCCTGCGGGCACCCAGGGAGAAAAGCTGGGCAGGGGTGCAATCAGCATGGGCACCCATTGACCCCAGACAAGAAGCCCCAACCCAAAGGAGATGTGCCTCCAAGCAGCCATAACAAGGGTTATCCCTCTGAGTTTTCTCACCAGCATTATTTTTAATGATTTCCTTTAATATCTATATCCAGTCAGCCCCCCAAAAGCCCATAGGTTATGCAATTAGAGCACCTCTGTGTGACAAAACACAAAATCCCTTTGGTTTGGGGGAGGAGGGTCGCCTTGGGAGGGTGAGGGTCACTAGGGAGGGATATGGGTGGAAATAAAAGAAAAAGTGGAAGACGCTGTTGATAGTTTTCTCCTTTTCTGGGGGTTTGCATGGCTGATTGGAGCTACGTCAGCCTGGAGGGAACTGAGTTGTTGGCTTAGGATTAGGGTCCCAAGGGTGTCCCAAGCAGTGTTGGGTCAATGACTGGGGGGACACAAAATGAAGCAGCTTTGGCTGGGGCAGTGTGGGGTGCCAAAACACTTGTTGGAAAGTAATGGCCAAAATTAAGTGCAAGAACCTCCTTCTGCACCCCTCTGCACCCCTTGCACCCTTGGAAATGCCTTGGAAAGCCAAGACCCAAGGAATGTCCCTAGCAATGATGATGGCGTTATTGTCCCAACCTTTAATGAATTTATTGCAGGTGTCTGCAAGATGGAAGCAAGAAGTTTCCCCACATGACAGGTGGCTAAGCTGCAGCAGTGCTTGCTGGAGGCTGTTTCTGACGCTCCACCTTCGGAGCAGGGCAGGGAAAGCCACAGGGTGACAAGCCTGAAGCAGCAGCACTTGGTTCTGCATGAAGCAATCCCCTGAACCCCTGTGCTTCCTTCCTTTTTTCCCCATTTTGGGCACATGTTGCCTTGTCATCCCCCCCTCCCGCCGTGCTGACAGTGCTGGAGGAAGGCACGCGGCCCGTTCCCCTTGCCTCAGCACCTCGCGGCCTGCCACTGCTCACATGCTCCTGTCCCCAGCTGCCTTGACTCAGCTAATCCCCCTCACCCAAGGCATTGACCGAGCCGGCCTTAAATTTAGTTTCATCTCGGGGTGAGGGATTGCCTCATGGCCACTGGCAAAGGTCAGAGCAGCTCAGGGTGGCCGGGACATCTGCGACCACCAGCAGGTCCCCACTGTGAGGTGCCACCAGGCCGGATGCAGGCATTCAGGCTGCCAAGCCCCAAAATATCTGACCTCCATACAAGTGGGACGAACATCTGCCCCCGCTTGTTTGGAGCATCCCGTAATTAATGTTTGCTTGGTGATTGAGGCTGACAGGTACTTAGTGTTATTAGCAAATCATTAGGAGCTGATGTTGATGTCACTACTTTTAGACATCTCATTTCAGCATCTGGACTTGGCAGAAAGGTCTTTTTTTTTTGGAGGTGGTTCCCTCCAGAAGATCCTCTTGCCGGGACGAGACCTGTCCCAAAACCGGGACAGCAGGGACATGAGTGGGAACACAGCAGCCACCCCATGTCCCGTGATAGGGACATCTGCCTCGCCCACGGTCCCATGCGCTGGGTGGAGAAAATCCCCTGTGTGGGAGCGTGTGGGAGCTAGCATGGAGGTACATGTACGTGAGATGGGGGGAGAACTGCTTTAAATTAAAGATTTTGGCATTTTCTGAGGTTTGTGTGTGGATTTTGATGGCCTTTGCTTTGCAAGGAGCTAATCCAAAACCCACTGAAGGTTTCCTGTGCTCACAGCAGGATCAAGCCCAGCCTGATGTGCTCCATGTGCACATGGCTGGGTAAGGCCTGGATAAAAATCCTCCATGCCTGCAAAGCAGCTCCACAATATTGCACCCCTCTTTCCAAGCACACTCAACCAGAGGCACCAGTAAATTCACACCAAGTGTCGTTTACTTATTTATTGGGGGAAAAAGCATTGGTGAGAGTGATGAAACCTTAAAAAAATCTGATGATTTCTCTCTGTTCTGCCATAAAATATGCTTTTTTTTTTTTTTTTAATTAAGAAAAAGGAAAATTAATGCAACAAAGGGAACTTGTAGTTTCAAGATGGGCTGGGGGTCAAAGTGGTTTTCATGGCTGCTTTTAGGTGTTAGTTTTGGGGGAATGGTCCTGTTCCCCCACAGCATGGGTGGCAGCAGGGCAGCACAGTGGCCTCTAGTGGCAATCACTGACATCCTGCCCTGGGGAGAAAAACCTCACAAACGAAGTTTTGGGGCTGTTTTCTGCCTGGTAAAATTAGGCGCAGAATCAAAAGGGACAGAGGAGAGACATCCCTGCATAGGGGTGGCTTTGCACCGGGTAGGTGCCATGGTCCTGGGCTTGCTTGGGACCACACCTACCCTGAGCAGCTTCACCTGGGACCCCATCCATGCCCCCCACCTGCAGCCCTATTTAAGCTCAGGCTTTAGCACCCAGGGCTGTTTGGAGGTTTGGGTGATGGTCTATACCCTAAGCCCTGTCCCCCTGCATGGCTTGTGCTGCAGGTGGCCGCCTCTAGTGCCCTCACCTGGAGGAACCCCAGAGCTACATCAGTCTCCTGGATGAACCCATCTCACATCTGTCCTCATCCCTGGTCCATCTCCTGCTGGTCCAGGAGCTGTGTCCTGCAGGTCTGGGCCTCCTGAGGGCACTCCCTATGAGCAATGCCTAAAAAAAAAAGTTATTGTTCTCTAATACATGTGGGACTACAGTTTGGGCTTTTTTTTCCTCAACCTACTAATTGGTTTCTAAAAGCTTATAGGTGCTTTACAGCTTTGGGGTCTATCCTTGTGCTGAATTTGTTGGAGTTGGTCAGAGCTGCATGAGGGGCTTGGTGACACATCATTCTTAGGAAGCTGAGCATGTCCAACAAGGCAAGGTCCTGGGGACTTGCTTTGAGCAGAGCTCCTGAGATTAAATCTTGGAGGCTAAGTACCACTGAACTTTGCATTTTTAGTGCTTACTTTCATGCTTTCTTCCCCACATGTGTGGGGCAGTAGCTTTGTTTATCCTTGTTGAAGAAGGAAGTCCCCAGGCCCCACAAGACAGGTAGGTAGCAGTCCCTGGGGTCAGAGCAGAGGTGTCTGTCCTTCCTGGAGCAGCTGCTAAAGGACCTTGTCTCAGGAGCATTCAGTCCTGCTTGGTTGTCAGTGCTCTCAGGCAATGCTCTCACCCCCTTTCCCTGAGATTTGCTTGCTGCAGGTTAATAAATCTTTCCTATTCCATCAAGCTGGCCTTCAGCTGGACCGGTCCTGAGAACTGCTGGTTATTGGTCCATCAGCAACATGAGGGAACCCAGGCAGAGGGTACCCCCATATCTTGAGCCCCCTGGATGTTATGAAGGCCATCATCAAAGAAAATATGGGGCTGGATCTGGGCAAGGATGGGGCCTTTGGGAGCCCCATCCATGAAGAAGGCCTCGTCGATGGCCAGACCCCATTCCCGGAGCGTCTTGATGGCTCGGATGCCCATGTCTCGGCCACTGCGGGCGGTCACCAGGTAGGTGCGGATGGGGCACTCCTCACGGTTGAACTTCTTGTGTATCTTCCCTAGGTGCATGGCAAAGGCTTTCATGGGACCCTGAAAGCACAGCAAGACACTTGAGAGTGGGTAGGAAGGAAAGAAGCATCTGTTCAATCTACTTTTTCCCCTTTTGAGGTCCCTTAGGCCTCTGCAGGGCACAGAAGTGCCTGTCGGGTATAGGTTTGGGCAGTGCTGGGACTGGTGCTGTGTACTGGCCACACTCATGCCCTGGGGTGCTCAGCAGGAAGGTGAGCCTTGTGGTGCTCATGCAAATCCTGAGGGAACCAAGAAGGTGCAGCACCCCTGGGTGAGGGGATCGGCACAGCATGGCATCCCAGCCTACAAAAGGCCCCAGGAACACTCTGGGTAGCCATAGCCCCAAATTTTGGGAGCAGATGCTTGCTTACAGAAGACAGAGTGCCAGATCCATCTCCAGAGGGACTCCAGATCAGCCCCTGCTGGGACCGAGCAGTGCTGAATGCAAAGGGAACCCATAGAAATTTGTGCTTTATTGGCCACCCACAGCAAAGCCCTAGCAGGGGCGATGCTGATGGTGGGCATGGGGCCTGCAGCCACCTCGCTCACCTCTCCCATGGGCACGGCCTCCATCGCCCGCTCGTACTGCACCGCTCCCTCCAGGCCCTGCTCCCGAAAGACCTGGTCGGTCTCGTCGGAGAAGAGCACGGCGTCCCCATCGAAGGCCACGCGCAGCGGGGTGCTGGGGGCCTGCACCTCCTGCTGGAAGACCAGCGCTGCTGAGACCCCTGTGGGATTGAGCAAAGTGGGTTTGGTGGGGGAACGAGGGAACCACCATGTCCTGGGGGCAGCTTGTGCATGGGCAGCTCCTCTCCATGCCTCCACGGCCCATCCAACACTGCAAATGTCTCCAGAAAAGGCAGTGTGGTTGGGCTCTCCAAGCAAAGAGGGTTTCCGTGGGGGTCATCCCAGCCTTTCCAAGGCTGGCTTATTTGGGGAGCACAAGGCAGTGCTGCTGATCAGGGACTGTATGGACACTGAAGCCTGCTAGGAGAACTGCTAGGTTGTTAATGCATGGGCAGCACTCCTCCTGGTGCCCGGTCCCTCTGCCAAGCCTTCTGTTAATGCCCAGACTTAGCACTCCGTGCTGTGAGTAATAGGGCCTGGCACCTCCGCTTGATTGGGGTAATTGGCTTAATTACAGGTCTTTTCCTACAAGCTGCTCCCTGCCTGCTCTCATCCGTGGGTTGGGGCTCCTGGATGAGACACTTGTTAGAGCAGTGATGATCTTCAGGGAGACCTCAGGATTGGGCTTTGTAGCTGAGGGAGGTCTGGGCTGTGGCTGGCTTGCTCCTGACCTGAAGGACCTTGGCCAGCTGATGTGCTCATACCTGAGCAAATTAATAAGGAGGAGATTAACCCCATTAGAGCTGTCAGGGGCTGTATGCACTCAAATCCAGGTCAAGCATGTGCTTACATTTATCATTAAGGACTCTGCGTGTACCAAGAAAGCAAATTTCCACAGCATCCTCACAAGGCCCTGGGAGGTGATGATGCTCCCTCACTGATCTAGGGAGCAGCATTTTGGGTTAGAAAGGTTTAAATGTTCTGCAGAGAAGGACCGGTGCATGGCAGAGCTGCAGCCAGAATCACACATAAAACACTCTGTTGTGAAGCCATCTGCAAACCCTGTTGTTTGAGGGCTGCTGGTGGGGACAGAAGAAACATTCAGGACTACAGGGGCGGCCAGGGTGCCACTCATCCCCTCTCATCCATGACAGAATGAGCTCTGGCACTGCTGCTTGGGAAAAGCGTGGTGTGTTTGGGGATGTGGGATGGAGGGGGAGACGCACCTCTCCGGAGGGCATTGCAGACATCTGTCCTGTCAGCCGAGAGGAAGAGCTTGACCCCGTGGGACTTGAGGTACTGCGTGGAGTCCTCATCACTGACGAAGCAGAACTTGGAAATCTCCAGGCCTTTGGGTCAGGGAATGTAAGCAAAGTCTCTTACAGGGATCACTTGTCTTTATGAACCCCTTTCACCTCCTCAAGTTTTTGTGTGCTTTCCCCTGGCTCTGTCTTTGCCCCTGATACACCACTACCTTATCTGCTCCTCAGCCCCCCTGGGGAGAGGATACCCACCCCCAGGGGTGTGCCTCCTTACCATAGTGCTTGGCACTGTTAATGATGCGCACACCGCTCTCTGGGCTGTTGTTGGAGAGCAGCAGGATGTCAAAGAGGTCCTCCTCTGCTGGGTTGCTCTCCAGGATCTTCTTGTTGACATACTGCACTGCCTAGGAGGAACAGATGAGACTCTTCTGCAAGGGGCATGACCATGAGGGTTGTTCCGCAATCCTGTGGTTAGCGGCTGGTGAGGAGGATGTGGGCAGTGGGGACATTGTGCTGCAGCTGCCACCTGTGGCAGGACAAGCATGGGGTGGAGAGCAGCCATCCTGTGCAAAGCACGGCTGGGAGGGCAGGGAGCAGGGCACCAGCAAGGAGGTGGAGATGTGGTGAGGGGCACAGGTCTCAGGAGTGGTGCACCTGCACCCTGGGGTGGGGTTTGAGACCTAAAGCCAGGAAGGCTGAGCCTTCAGCCCGCCCTCTTGAGTGCTGACATGTGCCCCCAGCCCGGCGTGGGGCTCACCTGGATGAAGGCGAAGGCTGTGCCTGGTGGCAGGGGCCTGTCCTGGTTGGCCTGCTGATGCCTCACGTACTCCTCCTTGCCCTTCTCCAGGTAGAGCTGATGCTCCTCCTCCAGGTTGAAGATGGCTCTGGTGGTCACTGCAATGACCAGTGCCTTGCTGGGGTCTTTCTGCAGGAGAAAGGGGAAAAGAGGGGTTGGGGGAACACAACGGAGGAGCTTGGGGTGGTTGGGGCAAGCGTGGGGTAGTGGGGCTGGGCATTGGAGGCATCACCCATGCGTCATGCTTCTGGGCTCTGCTGATGCCAGAGAGCCTTTGAAGGAGGGGTATCAAGCTTGATCTTCATCTTCAGGTCACCAAGGATGGAAGCAGGCAGTTGTGAAACCCTAACCTGTTTGGTAAGCACAATATGCTCCGAGGACAGCCCACACAGGAGGGGATTGCTTCATCATTTGTGCATCTGTGGGCACAGCACAGCTGTAGTCAACTGCTTGGGCTGAGCTGGGCATGTCCTGGTGTTTTTATTCTTGCTTTATCTCTTTTTTTCTGGAGAGACTGATGAAGTAGAAACTGCTGCGTTCTCCTTTGCCATGCCAAAATTGTGAGCAAATGCATCAGTCCTGTCCATGCAACTGAGGCACCAACAATTTGGGCCACTACAGTTTCAGGCTGTGGTGTCATCTCCTACGGTGGCATTTCAAAATGTACTTGAGACTGAGGAACTGCATTTTGTAACGAACAACTCTTACCTGTTTCACACTGGGGTTTACAACCGTGCTTTCAGGCTCTGCCATCTTCCCGTTCTAGCATCAAACAAGAAAAAATGTACAATTAAACCAATGCGTTATAATACATCCAATCTAAATGGGGGAGAGCAGAGAAGAAAAATGGCAAAGAGGCTTGAATATCCTGCCCAAACAAAACGAGCTGGCTTCTGCTGACGACAGCTTTGCTGTGGGAAAACTTGGCCTGAGATCTCTAATTAGTTATGATGGAAGAGTGGCTTTTCAAGCAGTGATCACCTTTTCTCCCCTCCCAAAGAACACTTTTCCCTTGGGAATTTCTGAAGGAGTTTGTGGAGCTCTTTTCTCAGCAAACTAAATCTTTATGTACCCTAAATGAGGCTTGGGGATTGAGTGAATCAAGAAGCATGTGAAAGATCCTACAGATAGGCTTCTAGCTTGCATCCTTACTTGCTGCTTTTTTCCAAACGGAGAATTTCTGTCCCCAGATAAGTAAATTCGCTGCATGAGAGATCATTTGTGGGTGTAAAAGGCCCAAGTAAGTTGAGATGTGTGGTGGATGCTGGGGTGCAGGATGCCCTATACCACAGGCATCTGTGCAGGCAGACCAAAGTCCTGGGGAGTTGCGTGGTCTGCTTGTGCCTAGTAGCCAAGGAAGAAATTCCACTTTTGCATGCCCAGGTCCTGTGGTTTCCACAACCGCCTTGCTGTACACTTTGTTTCTCTGTGCTAGTTAGTGCTATAAGTGGACACTGGGATTCAGCCTGTGGGATGAGATTGGCTCCTGTTCCCACAGGGGTTATTTCCATCCCACAGCTCCTAAAAATATACTGTGGGGTTTCTCTGGACAGCAGAGGAGGTGAGGATGGCTCTGCCTGGAAGTGCTGGGAATGGCAAGGGAATTACAACCTTGTTCCCCCTTTAATGTGCTGCCTGATTAATGGGGTGAGGGGCTGTGCTATCATAGACCAGAAAGAGCATACAGGGTGAAGAGTCAGGGTCTGCACAGGGAAAATCTCACTGACAAATGTCTTATTGCTGGGAACTTCACCCTCCTTGCTCTCCTGCCATGCTTGCTGCTGGAGGACTTCAGATCCTCATCCAGTGGTCCCTCTGGAGGTACGGATGAAAGGACTTCATATATAATCTATATAGGGGCATGCTCCTGCACGTGTGCTCCCTAATTTCCCCCTGGGCTGCAAAGCCCCATCAGCAGGGCTGCTCCCCTAGGAGATGCTGAGTATCTCTGTGCTTCTTCCACTTGCACCCTGCATGGGGAAGATCTCATCCTGCCGAGCAGAGCGCTCGCTCGGGGTGACAGCTGCCAGCCTGTCTGAGCAGGGAGAATTCCCCTGAAGGGATTTCACCCAGGCTTAAAATATGCAGTGTTTTGGGGCCTCTTTTCTTAAAGTGAAAGTGAAAGAGGTAACAGGAGCCGAGGTGCGCTTCGCAGAGGGAGAGCAGCCCCTTTAATTTCTGCTCTGTCCCTTGAAACCTGGCACACCAAGCCTGATTCTCCCCTCTCTCTCTTCCTATAATAATTGAAGCGTTGTTTACATACAGCCCTTACACAGATATGTATAACACACACCTACATGTGCACACATCTGCAAGCACCACACACGCAATGCCATACACACAAATACTTAAGGCAGATGCTTGCTGGATGGACCCCACAGCTTAGCATCGCCTACCTCCAGCTGGGAAAGAAAGTGCTGAGGCTTTGCTAGAGATAAAAGCCCAAACTCACCTCCAGCGCCGCTTCCCTTCCCTGGCGTGGTGTCCAAACCTCTGCCCAGCTTCGCCCAAGATGCTGCTGTTGATATCTGCCTGGAGCTGGCAGGAAGCAGGCAGGAGCTGTGCTGGGGCTCAGCCCCGCTGCTGGCGTGCTGGGATTTGTAGGCAGCCCCGCGGGCTGGCTTCGTGCCCAGCCTGGGTGGCATTTCCCGATTCAGCCCCGGCCAGCCTCCTGGGGAGCTTTTTTTCCTCAATTTCTGCTTGCAAGCACTGTCTTTTGGTTTATTTTTGTAGGTGGGTTATTTGAAATGTGCCTCTGGACCTCTCATTTCCTAGCCCTTGCCTGCATAGCTGTCGTGCTTTTGACCAAAAATACAGGATTGCCTCTTCAGGACCATGTACAGGGCAGCCTCTTCACATGTGTAATTTTACTGCTTCAATTCTGGGTCCTTGTTCATTTCTCTTCTGAAAGCTGGGGTTGTTGCCATGCGTTACCAGATCTCCTCCCACATCACAGGCTGCAAGCAGGGTCCTGCTGCCATGCAGCTGTTTCTCTGAGATGCTTGACTTCAGCAGACAGCCAGCTGAAGGTGCTGGCAATGAGCTCAGCATTCAGCATGTGTGTGTGAACCCCCTTTCCCTGAGTAATTTTATTGGATGTGTTCCCTTCCCCCCTGCCCAGTTTCCCCTATGTGTTTCTCCTGTGCATCCTCCAGGTCTGCCAATTCAGGAAAAAAAAAAAAATGTATTTTGGCATCTGTGTGTCCCCTCTCCAAAATCTTGCTGCAGCATCACTCCTGCAGCATCTCTTGCACCTGGAGATGATGTTTCTCCATGCAGCAGGATCTCAGGGTGCTTGTGAGCAGGGCTGTGTTGTGGGGGCTAAGGACATCTCTGGCACCTCTCTAGGGCATGGCAATGCCTTGGTGGCTACAGGAAAATCCAGAGGTGGTTTCTGGGACCTCTCCTTACTTTTTGGATGTGCTGCTGCTTTTGGGCATCAGGCACTCATGGTATTGCTCCCCACTTCCAACAGCAGCCCTAAATGTCTGCAGGGACAATGTAGTTTTTAGGCTGAATTGACAGCAAGGGAAGAAATGAGGATCAATTTGAGATGGGGGTGCTGCTGAAATCACCCCTGACCCATCCCCTGGCACTAAGCACATGGAGCCTCGTGCTGTGCCCTGTCCTGGCACTGCTGCCAGGCTGGCCTGGAGGTTTGGGTTTGTCCCCAGCAGTGATGCTGGCCGGCTCGCTGCAGCCAGGAGCACAGGTTGTGCTTCCTGCTCAGGCAGGGAGTTCCCCACTGGCTTTTCGCCTGCGTGAGCACCGCTTGGGTCAGCAGTGAGGTGGGGCTGGCCGAGGAGCTCGGTTCCTGGGCTGGCAAAGCAGACTTTCCAGTTTCAGTTGTGCTGTGCACGGGGAAGTCACTGTCCCTGCTGTGCCCCCAGCCCCGTGCCTGGTGGGGACCTGTTTTATCCCACAGCATGTCCCTGCCACGTGCCGTGGCTGGAGCAGGAGCGCAAGCAGAGGGGAAGGGAGACTGAGGCTGGAAAGGAGACACCACGGTAAGTTTGGTTTTGGGATCCCGGTCAGCATGGGGTGGGGGAGAAGGACAGGGCTCCCCAAGTCCTTTTGCAGAAGCAAGGATGCTCGGTGCTCCCAGGTGGTGGCTGGGTTGTCCCCATTGCCCCCAAAACAGCAGTTTGAGTCACCTCACAGGGCTGGGCTGAGCTTTTTCCTTGTAACTGGGGCTGAAACCAGACAGCCATGGGGCTCTGGTGGGAAAAAACATGATAAAACATCTGAGCCTGTGTGGGGTGGGCATCTGCTTGCCCACGCTGCCACTGCCCGAAGCTGGAGCCTCCTGAATAATGAAGGTACATCACCAGGCTGCCGCTGCTTTCTGCACATGGGGACAGGGGAAACAGATCACTAAAACTCAATGGCGAGGCTGTGAGCTGAGCGTGAGTTTCCGATGACACCAATAGCCCAGAAGGCCCTGTGCAAGTCATTTAACCTGCATCCCGCTGCCCCAGCAGGGATAAAGAGCTCTCCTTCATCCCTGTGCCAGCCAGCAACAGAGCCCTGTTGTCTTAAAAAAATAATAAAAAAATAAAATTAAAGAGCATCCCTGTGCAAGGAGCCCTGCGGTGCTGGTGTGGCCAAGGTAAACATGTGCATACCTGCCGGCCCTCGTCACCATGCTGGGAAGAACACGCCCCGGGCCACGGTTCCTTAGAAGGTGGCCTCCAGGAGGCTGTGGAGAGTGTTTTCTTGTCCCTTTGGAGGCTTTTAGCATGAGATGTGCTCTCCTGCTGGCTCCTTCAACCCTAAGTCGTAGCAGCCCTGCTGCTGCTCATCATCCGAAGCAGGGAGAGAAGAAAGCTTAGGTTACAACAAAACGTTCATGCGAGGAGAGCCCATCAATTAAAATAATAATTATAAAAAACCAACACCAATTCTGGTTTAAATATGAAGCCTGCCCTTAATGCACGTCAGCGTTGCCATGTGCACCAGCCAGGCTGACGCAGTTTCCGAGCTGGCGTGGTGGCACTGCTGGCACCCATCATGTGGCCACCAGCCCTGCTGCGAGCGATGGTGCAAGCCCTGAGCCCTGCGAGAGGGCAGGGAAGGGCTGCAATGAAGTAAAGGAATTGGTCACGGAGGGGAGATGAGGATTAAATGAAAAACCAGCTCGAGCAGAGACCGTCCTGCCTGTGGGAACAGCTCTGCTCCATTTCACACCTCATTTCCAAAGCAGCCGAGCCCTAAATGCTTACTCTGGGCTTTATCTTAGGATTTTAATTGTGTTTACTCATTAAATCTCTGCGCCACCAGCAGCACATGTGCTCCTGGAAAGGAAATCCCCACCCTGTTCATTTTGTTTGCCTCCCCAGATCACCTGCACTTCTCCATGGCCAAGGCATTGAGGATCAGTGGGGCTACAGCCTCCCCGCTCCCCGGTAGCCCCGTGGCTACCACGGCTCCGCCGGGCTTCCTCAGTGGCTTCGTTGGCCGCATCCCGTGTGAGTACAGCTGGGGCTGCTCTTGTCCTGCTCCCTTGGGAAGCGTTATCCTAGGGGCCCTGCCTCTGTTTCAGGTTGCATCCTTTCCTCTCCCCCCTTACAAATCCTATTTTCCAAAGGGGTGTGAGGCCCACCATGGCCAGGGATGTTGCAGAGCAGCCCCACACCTCCCCAGGAGAGATCTTTGTCACCCATGTCAGGCACAGTCTCTGCCTGCAGCCTGCCAGTATTGGGTCTTTTCAGGATTTTAGGGTCAAGCCCCCCAAATGCAACTTTGTAATGCTGTAATGCTAGGAGGGGAATATAAATGCACTCTGCATGTTTTTGTTTGCTTTTAACTCTTCTGTCCACCTTGTTGCACCAGTACCCAGATGGGCACTCATCGCCGTGGCGCTGGCAGTGGCTATACTGCTCCTCCTCTTCCTCATCTGCATCATCAGGTGCTGCTGTGCCAAGAAGAAGCCCAAGAAGAAGGAGAAAGTCACCTTGCATGCCATCAGCAGCTCCACCACAGCCAGCCTTGTGCGTTCTGCTTTCCCCTCTTCCCCACCACCCTCCTAGCAGGAGGTTTGCCCTGTGCTGCCCATCGTCCCCCCAGGTCCCCAGAGTGGTGGGACTGGTTGTAGATGTGCAACCTGGGATTTCTGGAGGGGGGCTCTTTTAAACCTCACCTTTAGAGCATCTTGGTCTGCACGGTGCATTGTGCCTGGACAGACAGTGGGGACGTGAGCGCTCAGCTTGGTCCCCATGAGCTGGGAACAGAGCTGGGGGTCCCACCCATGCATGGGAACACACCTGAGCATTCGGGAGCCCACCATGAGGGATGTGCTAATCTCTGCTGCAGGTCCAGCCCGAGATGGAGGACCTGGAGCAGGGCCCGGAGCAGACGGGGCGAGGAAAGCTGCAGTACTCGCTGGAGTACAACTTCCACGCGCAGGAGGTGGGGCTGCTGTGAGGCTGGGCTCTTGCATGGTCCCTCCATGGCCCATCAGGACCCAGACATCCATCCCTGCTGTCCCTACCCTGCTGGCTTTCATGCTTACATGGTGTGGTGACATCTTCTCTGAGAGCTCGCTTGCTTTTCACCTCTCCCCATCGTCCTCCATGCGGTGACCTTGTGCATTGTTCTTTCAAGCTGAAGGTCGGCGTGAAGCAAGCAGCTGATCTGAAGGCCATGGACAACGGGGGCACGTCTGACCCTTATGTTATTGTCTACCTGACGTCTGACATGAGGAAGAAGTATGAGACCAAGGTTTACCGCAAGACCCTGAGCCCTGTCTTCAACGAGAGCTTCACTTTCCAGGTAGGACGCCCTGGCTGCTGATGGTTCCTTCATCCCATCGGGAGCAGTGCATGGGTGCTGCTCTCCAGGCAGGGAGATACTTTGCTGTCATTGTGTGTGTCACCCCATCCTTCATGGGTCCTCCCCTGCAGCTGCCCCAGGCAGAGGTGTCCGAGTCCACACTGGTGATGCAGATCCACGACTTCAACCGCTTCGCCAAGCACGACACCATTGGCGAGGTCCGCCTGCCGCTGGCCAGCGTCGACCTGCAGCACGTCATCGAGCAGTGGAGTGACCTGGCCATGGCCAGCAAAGTCGAGGTTGGTGGGAAAAGCCCCCGAGAGGGACATGTTGTTGTCCCTCTTGCCAACCTCTAAGGAGGTAAAGCTTTGGGTCTTGTCTGCCTCGAGAGCACCTCCTGTGCTGGGTACCCCTGCTCATTGCTCATGTCTCCATCAGCAAGAGCGGCTGGGAGACATCTGCTTCTCACTGCGCTATGTCCCCAGCACCGGCAAGCTGACGGTGCTCATCCTGGAAGCCAAGAAGCTGAAACGGATGGACTCCCATGGGCTGGCAGGTTGGCAGGGGCTGCTCATGCTCACGGCTCCCTACCTGGTGCTAATGATAGCACCAAGAGCTCTCAGGGCTTTGCAGATCTTGGTGTGGAACTGTCCCCTCTCTCTCCTCAGATCCCTTTGTCAAGGTGCATCTCATCCTGAACAGGAAGAAATGGAAGAAGAAGACAACAAGTGTGAAGAAAAACACCTTGAGCCCTTACTTCAATGAGGTGTTTGTGTTTGAGGTGCCTTTCAATCAGATTCAGGTGGGTTTCCCTGCAGTGCCCAGCTCTGAGCAGGTCCCTGGGCAGGTGCAGGTCCGACTGATGCTCTTTCTCCTGTCTCCACCAGAACGTGGATGTTGTCATCTCTGTCTGGGACTACGACAGAGTGACCAAGAACGAGCCCATCGGCAAACTCTTCCTGGGCTGCCGGGCCACGGGCAACCAGCTGCGGCACTGGTCCGACATGCTGGCCAACCCGCGCCGGCCCCTGGCCCAGTGGCACAGCCTGCAGCCCGCCGACGTGGTGGACAAAGCCCTGGGGCTGAAGTCCCACCTCAAGCTGCCCCTGGCCACCAGATAGAGGGGGTGAGAGCCCCAAATGGGTTGAGGGCTCTTCTTGACCAAGAGAGGAGCTGGCTGCTGGTGCAGCTCGTGCCCTGGGCAATGCCAGAGCAGGGCTGCTCTGCACCGGGGGGATGCTGGAGGGGAAGGTGTGGATATGGGTCCGGCTTGTCCCAGCCCCTCGCAGGCTGGGGGGACAAATACAGAAAGGTTCATTGGAAAACACCGAGTCCCTGGGTATTTTTTAAAGTTTTTAACTTAATTTTTGAGGGTTTTTAACTGAGACCAAGATCTTGAACCACCCTAAGAGGCTTGGGGGGAGAGGAAGAGGATGGGCTGATAAGGAAGGCATTGGAGACACAGGACTAACTCTTTACTGACTCTGTGATCAGCACACTTTGTGTCCTGGCAAGAGGCTAAAAGAAACAGCGAAATCAGCCCCTGGTTGTCCATGCAGCTTCACTCTTAGCCTGTTCCTGGCCTGACTTTGGCCCGTGCTGGGCTGTGCACCCTGAGATGTGTCCTGGGGGTTGCGACTCACCAGCAACCATCCCTAAGGACCCTGCAGTGCTGGCTCCATCCACCCCCATGTGGTCCTACAGAGCTGAGTCCATAGGGTTTTAACCCCAAACCTGGAGGTGCTGCTGGGGTGGGGTGGTGCTGAGCGTGCACCTTGTCCTCTTGCTTTTATGCTTTGGCCACCCTGTGCTGATGAAGGCTGGGCTGCAGCCCTCATCTCAGTTCAGGGTGGGTTTTGCATAGTCTGCTTGTGCTCCCCTGTCCTGCCTCGAGGGGCCTTGAGATAAATGTGGGATATGGAAGGAAAGATGCCTCCTGGGACAGGGTGGCTCCTCTGAGCCCTCTGCAGGTGGAAGCTCCCTGTGTTGGGCTAACTCCAAAGCCCAGGAGCCTCCTAGCTCCCCGAATTAGTATTTCAAGGAGCTAATAAGGGAGAGCCTCTTTGCTTCAGCTGAGAAGAGTTAAGCCAGATTGGCTCAGATAGTGCCTGACCCCTTCCCATTCCCACCTGAGGGGATTGCTCCTGCTCTGAAATGTTCTGGGAGAAAACCTCCCTTCTCCTGGCCTTCTGCATCAAAGCAGCCACAGCACGGCAGAGATTTGGGCTTGTATCACTGCATGTGGCCTCAAAAAACAAAAGGAAAGTAATTTGCACTGGGCAGCCTGTGGGAAGCCGTGGGCTCTGGAGGGGGAGAGCCCCAAGCATTAATGAAGAGCCATTAATATTGAAAAGCGGTTAATCTGCAATTATCCCCGGCTCCGCAGAGTGACTACGAGAGAGTTAAACAAATACGGTGAAGCTGGAGAAGATTATGGAAGCTCTCGATAGAGATTAATGACCTGAGCTTAACTATAAAAAGCCACCATGTCTGCTGTTTAATAAATGTTACCCGGGCTTCGCTGCGGCCGTGGTGAGGGGAGGAATGACAGGGTTGTTTTGGGATGGCTGTGACAAGGAGAGTGGGGCTTCTGCTGGGAAAACAGCATCATCTGGCTGCCCTTAAGGAAATGGAGGAGGAAATCAGTCACCTGAGAAATGCTTGCAAAAGGACACTGGGTGAATTAAACCCTCAGCCTTAAACCGAGCTGGGAGGGGCTCTGCAGAAGGGAGCAGCTCTGGGGGAGATTTTTGGGGCAGCTGGGGACCCCGGGAGCGAGCACCCAGCTGGGCAGGCTCCGTGCTGCCCCAGGTGAGCCTCGGGGAGGTACAGAGCCACCGGCAGAGGTGTTTGCTCAAGAGGGAAAGGTGCCTGGGTGGGGATAGTATCCACTCAGCTCTGGCTTTTAATGCCCTGCCAGGGCTGCTTTCTAGCTCTGGTGTTGCTTTTCCCTCTCCTTACATCCCCACCAACACGTCCCCATGGCCCGTTGTCCCCCTGCCCACCCCATGCCTCCTGCCCAAGCGATGTTCCTGGGAGGGCTGAGCGTGGAAATGAGCCTCAGGAGGAGGGTGCCCTGGTGGAAGGCGCAATGGGGAGCACTGCTGGGTGAGAGGGAAACCAACCTCAGCCTGTGCCTGTGCTGGATTCCCGTGTCTGCATCTAGAGGGCAGGGCAGGTACGTGCTGGGATCTGGGGCTTGGCCATCTGTGCTCCCAGCCAGAGCTTGGCCTCCTCATGAGGTCTCCTTCTACAAATGAACACTGGCTCTGAGCAGGACCTCGCTCCGGATCTAACCCCGCTGGTGGCCATGCCCTGGGCTGGGGCTGCAGCAGGCGACCTCCAGGAGTCCCTCCCCAGTGAATTATTCCCTCACTCAGTGATTTTATGATTATTGGTCCCTGTGCTTTAGGAAACCAGCCTGGAGAGCTGTACCAGGCGAATGCTGAGCATTATACATGCTTGTCACCATTCGTCTGCCGTGAGACAAAAATGATTATGGGCTGTCATCGTTCAGCCTGGCTATGTGCTGGCTGTCCTCCAGCCTCAAAATTTTTTTTTTTTGGCTGGTCTCACAGTTTTTGAGCACTGGAGACTATCTAAGCTTCTCTCACAAGGAGTAAGTGTGCCCATTTTATAATGATGCTAGTTAATGAATATTTATCTCAAAAACCTATGGTGAAACTTTGCCACGCAAAGAGTTCCTCCTCTAAAACTCCCGAGCTCCTGGGTTTACAGGGCGTTATGCAGGCTGTAGGTTTTTTTCTTTTACAGTACATTTTTTGTGGTTTCAGAGAGAAAGAAAGTTGATTTTAAAAATAAATAAATAAATAAAAATGCCAAGAGCGGGATGCTTCCCGAAACTACATCTCCCAGGCTGCCCCGCTGCTGCTGCTCCCTGGGGTGCGAGACGGGGGTCCCGGCCCCACAGGCGCTGGCATCGTGCCCCTGCCCACGGTAAAGCCCCAGGGCTGGGCGTGGGGGGTGTTTTGGGGCAGGGTCCCGAGCTGTGTGGGGCTGCTGCTGTGGGGAAGGGGGATTGGGAAGAGCTGGGGGGCACGGGAAGGAGGGAGGAGCGGGGGTCTTTGTGCTGGACTGCGAGCGGGGGGAGCGGGCCTGCCCTGGGTGAGGCTGCTGGTTTCTTGGAGGGGCAGGGAGCCCTTTCCCGACCCCCTTCACTTTTTCCCATCCTCTGCCCTTTCCCCATCCCCTTCCCCTCCGGGTGCTTCCGATAGCTGGGTGCTGTGCTGCCGGCACCCTGTGGCTCGTAGTTTGTGGCTCATAGTTTGTGCCTTGAGGCACGCAGGTATCTGAAGAAAGGGGTGCATGGGTCTGTGAGCTGTAAAGGTTTTACGCCCGGATTCTGGGGGCAGCTAGCTTGACCCATGTGCAGAGGTTTCTCTAGGGTTGTACATTCAAGGGAATTAAAAGACTGAGTGCTGGGACATCAAATATTTGCATTGATAAAACTGACCTCTTTGGAGGTGCTGAACAATCACTGTTCTGCTGGCTTCTGGAAGCCGTCACCTTTTCATCCCACTTTCAGAAATACTTGCCTTTAAATTGCAGATAATGAAGGTTTTTAAAGTGTCCTATCCCTTGCCCCTTTTCCTATCTCTACTCCCACTCGTTTTCCCACTGTGACTGCCTGCTCCTGAGGCTCTGGTATCTGGGGCTGTTCCTGCCCCAGCCTGGGCTCACGTTGCTCCTGGATCACTCATGCCATGGAGGTGTCCCCAGGAGCACCTCCACCATGGGATGCCTCCATCCTGAACACCCCAGGGCTGATAATGGGGGTGCAGAGATCACCCTGCTCCCTCACAGCTCCTTCTATCTCAGCTTTGTAGGCAGAAAGAAACCCAAACCTCCTGCTTCTCCATATTTCAGGCTTGGCAGCATGGAGCCCCCGGAGAAGCAGCACAAGGACCTTGTGGCCGTCATGCTGGAGGGCAGAAAGTGCCCCCTGAAGAAGAAGGGCGTCACAGGTGAGTGGGTGCCTGCCTCCAGTGACTTCTCAGCTGGGTGCGGAGTTTTTCAGCAGCTCTGTGCTCATCCCTTCCCTCCCCAGGCCGAATCATGGAGCACCTCCAGAGGACCTTGCAGAGGCCCATCTCCTGGCGGCTGTCTTCTCCCGTGGCTCTCCCGCGGTGTTGCACAGGTGGGTGAGGCTGCCAAGGGGCTTCATCACTGCTGCTTTTTCTAAAAATGTGTTTTCTTGGCTCACGTGGTACTTGGGGAAAAAATAAAAAGCACCAAACAATAACAAAACCACGTGTGAAAAAACAACAGTGGGGTCGAAGTGGATAATTTCTAAAGGATCATAACTGATGTGGCCACTGGTTTGCAGGGCAGTTGCTAACCTTGGGGAGGGAAGTGCTTTATGCTCTATTGCCTTTGTTTTTGATCTCAGTTGCCACTTCACATTATGTTATTACTTTTACTCTAACAAAGTATTCTTGCTGCAGCCTCATTTTGGCGTGGAGAGCCTGAAAGCCATTTTGGGTGTGGAGGCATGCTGAAACCTTACTCATTTAATCACACGGAGGTCTCAATCTGCTCTCCAGACATGTCCTGGCTCCTGCTCTGGTCTCTAGCAGGCTCTGAGGTCGTGCAGACACAGGGACACCGTGCCCAGGTGTCAGGTCGCTGCAGTAATTCTACCCTGGGGCAGGCTCGGTGGGAATGCCAGATGGATCACCTCCTGGGTACATCAGTGCTGGTCCGAGGGGTTAGCTGTTGGCTTTTCCAAGGGCAGGAGCTAAGGCACCTTCTGCCTAAGTGCACGTGATGGCAGTGGGAAAAGCTCCAGCGAGGAGTGAGCCCTGAGCTCAGGGCCCCTCACCTTGGCTCTCAATGTGTCCTCTCCATCGCTGGAGGCAGGTTCAGAGGGCAGATGTTGCTGCTGCTCATGAAAGCCCTTGTGTTGACTTGTTCTGTTCCTCCAGGCTCTTGCCCAAACCTGATGACGAGTAACAGTGAGGCACGAGGAGAGAAGCCCGGGGAGGTGGTGTCTGCAGCCCCGCAGCCTGGCAGGACACCCCGGTCACCCCGCTGGTCACCATCAGCAGGAAGGGATGGCCCCAACCAGGGCTGGCGGAGTGGTCTGGGGGTCCAGGTGGGCACCTGCTGCACACCCGTACCTCTGTGCAGGGCAATGGGCTGGGTGTTCGGGTACTGGGGATGTGCAAGGCCCTCAGGGCTCTATTGTCTGTGGGTGGGTTGGGGTCCCAATGCCTGCTCGCGTCTCCTTGCCCAAGCAGCTGAGTTGTGTTTCTGCGCTCTCACCGGTCCTTCCCTGTCTTGCAGGTGGAGGAGGCTGACAGCAGACCAGCCCACAGTGTGGGCTCCCTGGTGCTGGCATCCCTTCCTTGTGCCCTCAGACCCAGCCCCTCCCCTCCTTCTCTTCTGCCTCATCCATCGCCCTCCCCTCCCGAGGCCAAGCTTGCCAGCCGCTTCCCCCTCTTCTCACCGCTGTCACAGGGCTCTGGGCCTGGCTCCATCCCTCTGCCCTGCTCTGGCCCCAAGAAACCTCACAGAGGGAGCTGGAAGAAGAAGAACCCGCATCCCGAAGAGCACCCTGGCCCCAGCCCAGAGGAGCCTGCACATTTCCCCTTCGCAGGACCCATCATTGCCCGGATAACCGACTGCATCTACCTGGGGAACCTCAACGCTGCCTACAGTGGGCGGGTGCTGTGCACGAATGGCATCGACAGCATCATCGACGTGAGCTCCCTGCCCAGGGACCGCAGCCTGAGCATCATCCCCTGCACCTGCGGCCGGGCAGGCTTCAGGCACAGCTGGCCGCGGCTCAGGGTTGACATCAGGGCTTCCCTGCATGGGGGCCATCACGAAATAGGGCAGCCCTGCTTCCTGGACATCAACGAGTGCATCAAAGCCTCGGTGGAGAAAGGGAAGCGTGTCCTCATCCACTGCAGGGATGGTTACTCTTTAGGTCCTACTTGTGTCATCCAGTACCTGATGGTCAAGCACAGCATGGGACTGCTGGCAGCCTACGGGTTTGTGAGGGCACGGTACCCGCTGAACATCCAGGAGTGCCATCAGGACCTGCTGGTGGCTTTGGAGATGTCCCTGCAGCCTGGCACTGCCAGCTTGGCGTGCCTGAAGCACTCCCTGTCGAGGAAGATGGCGTGGAGCTAAATGGGATATGGTGGCTGTGCTGTTTGCCAGCAGCCCCACAGGAGAAGAGCCAAAAGGAAAATAAAATGAACCCCATCTCATGGGGAAAGAGAAAACCGTAGCTGTCGGGTGTGTAGGACAGTGATGGCACAAGATGCAAAGGTGATGGCTTTGCTTTGCAGCAGCTCCTAGGGGCTGGTGTTGACAGACATAAAGCTTGGGGAGCTCCTGGGGACATGCCAGAGAGAGAGGGGATGTCCTGGGCAGGGTGGGAGCTACATGAGGAAGCTTCCTCAGTCACGCTGCAGAGCTTTTACAATCAACACTACTGCTGTTGGGCTGCTATTTTTTTTTATTTTTTTTTTTTAATTTTTTCCCCTGATAATATCATCCTTGGAAACAAGGCCTAAGGTCTCCTGGTGTCGTGCTGGACAAGTCACCGCATGGCCCCTGCCCACTTGATGCTACCAGGGTGCTGAAGAGGAGAAAACCCAGCTCCTTGGGCATGGGGACCTCTTGAACCCACCACCCTCTGGCTTTGATCTCTCATCCAAGAGCTGCTGTCTGGCAGGCCAGCAGGGGCCAGGATGGGTGTAGTTCTGTGGGGGGCTGAAGAAAATGGCTGCAGACACTTTGGAAAGAATAATAAAATGTTGGTTTAACTTTAGGGTCAAGTGTGGCTCTCCTGGGGTATGAAGGAAAAGTGAAGTGGCTAAGCTGGGCCTCGCTGGGTGATCTCTGCTGCTGACTGCTTGGGGTGGCTGCTGTCTGTTCCCAAATGCACTCACTGCACTCTCTGTTCTTTATTTTTCTGAGAAGCCGGCTTTAGCTGGGCCAAGCAGATACCCCAGGAGGGCTTGTGGGTATTTCCCAGCTAGAGGCCAGCACCAAGTGACACCGACACTCCTGCCATGGCAGGGTTGTGATGATTTCACTACCCGAGCCATCTAGCTCTCAATGTGTGAGGGACTAATCCTGAGCAAACGCAGCCTCGCCCACACAGGACCCCAAAGCAAGACCCCAGCCCCATCTGGGGCTTCTTTGGCAGTGCTGCTCGTGTGATGCTACAGGCAGGCTGCAGCAGCGGATTTGCTGCTATTTGTGTGATGTCTGAGAGGAAAATTAGTCCTGACCGTGTCTGAATCTGCTCAAAATCCCTTGGCTGACAGCGGAGGGAGTGCCTGGTCTGTGGGAGGAGGGCAGGAGCTGTTTGGGCTCTTGTCTCCATGGGATCCCCTGCACACACACACACACACACTGCATGTGCTCTGGATGGGGCTGGTGAATATTTCCAGAGCCATTTCCATCTGCCTTTTGCTTGGGCTGTGGGGATGTGGGTGTGAGGCACCCCTCAGCAGCCTTGGGGTTGCCTTTCTTGCTGGTAGCGCGAGGCTGCTCCCCATGTGCTGCAGGGAGCCAGCAGCAGGCTTTGGGTTTGGTTTTTAAATAAATATATAGTTGTGATGAAATATTTCACACGAGGAGGAGCTGCGAATGTTTCCCTGTGTGGTAACTGAGGCTAAAAGAAGATGCCAGTGCCGGATGGCTCCCTCAGGGATGGCTCTTCCACATGCTGCCGGTGGTTGGTTTTTGGGGGGGCGATGCAGGATCCGCAGCCTCCTTCCAGCAGCGTTCCCCAAGGGCAGGCAGAGCTGCTCCTCTCCCGCGGGGCTGCCTCGCCTGCCCCAGCCAAGGGAGGTGCACCGGGGACTCTTGCACATCATTGGTCTGAGAAGGTCTCCATGCCCTTAAAGAGAAGGTGGATTTTCTGCTGAGCCACCCGAGAAGCCCTTTTATACCTCCTTACTCAGCCAGCTGCTTCGGCTCGCCAGTCAGTCCTGGCCGGCCAGCGGGGCTCTCTCTCTCCTGTGGATTTGGGTGAGCTGCTTTGCATGTCTCTTACTGACTGGCTTGCTCTGCAGGGGGTGACGGGGAAGCAGGTTCGCTCACATGAGTTTTGGGGAGGTGAAGGCCGGGTGGGGTGACCTGCTGGGGGAATTAGGGGTGCTGACAAAGCCACCTCCGTCCTCTGCCTGTTGGAGAGGGTCTGGCATCGGGGAGCCTCCCTCTGTCTTTCCCAGCTGCCTTTTCTTTTTGCTTTCATCCTCACTTGGTTTTGCTCTCTGCCCTAAGCCCCCTAACGCTGACTTCTCTGGGACCACAGGAAAAAGCATCCTCAGCTGTGGCACCCCGCACCAATCCCCACTCACACCCCTCCGCTCCATGCTGCCCTTTTCTCCCCCCAAATCACCCTTGCCACCGGGAGACCCCCAAAACAAGGACCGTCATCCAGACTGGCAGCACCATGGGGACGATTTTCAGCCCAGCCTGGCGTTGCCTCCTCCCGTCCTTGGTGCTCGCAGTGCAGGGTGCAGGGACGCTGGCAAAAATAGCTCCTGCTCCTCATCCACCTGCGGTGGTGGCTGTCGCCCTGCGTCGCCCCGACCTCCCCGAGTCACGGGGCCTGGCACCGGGGCCAGGCTGCCGTCTGAGGAGACAGCTGCAGCTCCTTGTGCAGCTCCCCGGCCATTTTTAGAAGCACTTTTCTCCCCCCCCCTCCGCCCCTTCCCAGTAATGTGATGGGCCCGCACATTTTCCAGGATAAAGTTTCCTGGGGGAGCTTGGCCCTGCAGCCTGTACCTCCTCCCTCGGGCACCGACCCCGTTAACGCTTCACCTCCCAGGCGTGCGGGTTGCAGTGTTTTGGGGGATTGTCTCCTCTGCAAGGGAGCAGCTTCCTTTGGGCTTGGCCAATGTTCCTGCGTCCTTCCATCAGCAGACACAAGCAGGAAATATTGCTCTGATAGAAAAACGCAATTACATTTATGGGGAAAAAATTGCAGCATGATGTTCAAAGGTACTTTTCCCTCTCTTCCCGAAGACGCTGTGTTGTGCCTGTAAAATTCCCACTTCCAGCAAATGCAAAAAATCCTCTGATGAAGCTGTTCATACCTTCACCAGCTCAGAAAGAGCTCTCAGCCCTGTGTCCCATTATCTGTGCATGTTCCATTACCTGATGCAGACGTGCTGGCAGCAGCATCCTCCAATGTCCTTGTCACCTGTGGCTGCTGCCTGGCTCCATTCCCAGTGCCCAAAGCCTTCGTGGTCTTTGGGGTATGTCTCCTCCACGAAGCGTGGCAGTGCTGTTTTCCCCATTAGTAGACAGGGAGGTTGAAGCTCGAAATAGCCATTTAGTTTGCTACAGCCCTATGTGATAAGAGCTGTATGACAGAGTCAAGTGGCAGACATAAACTAGTCTTCCCCCCTCTTCCTTCATTGCATAAAGTGGCATCTTGGGGGCCAAGGAAGAATCACCCCTGCAGGGCTCGCCGTCACAATCCCTTTTTCTGGCCTGGCACCGCTTGTCCCAGTGCAAATGTAGCCGTGAGCTGGCACATGCTTGCCTCTCGTCTACAAACCTCAGCCTAGTTCCCCTTGAGACGGGAATTTGGAGAAGTTGGGACAAACCCCTTCCTCTTTTTCTTTCTTTGTCTCAGCTAATCTTGCTTTGTTTCTCAACGCAAGAAAGCCAACACCAGCATGAATAATTGTAAATTATTTTTTGGTTTTCGTTGCAGGCTCACAACCATCTAAAGCAAGATGTCTGAGTAAGTTCCCATTTTCTCTCTCTGCTGTGTCGCTGGCCTTTAAACACTTTCATCCAGCTGCCAGCTTTTTACACTTGTTAAGATGCATCTGCTTGTTTCCGACTGGGATGCTAACTGCCTTTTCTCCCCTTTCTCTTCCTCCTCGTCCTTGTCTGCCTGCCCTACCTGACCAGTGAAGAGGTAAGTGCGTCCTGCTGGGGCTTTGCCTTCAGCCGTGCTCAGCCCTGCAGCCCTCGCCTCGCAGCTCCTCCGTCATGAAGGCGGCTGCACCTCCTCTGCCAGCAGGAGGGTGCTGAGGGGACACTGGGGCAGGGATGGCCTTGAGGTCCAGGGATGGCTGTGGAAATGCAGGGCAAGGGTTTTGCCATGGCAGAAGGAGGGGTTCCTGCACCAGGCTGCCTCCAAGTCAGCACTAGACCCCAAACTCCCCTCAGGTCGCTGCAGGAGCCATGGCAATGAGGACCAGGTGCAGGGTCAGCTCCATAGCACCTCTGAGCAAGCTGCTCCATCCTCCATCTCCCCACACACCCAACACAGCACGAGGCAGAGCTTGTTCTCACTTAGAGAAGAGGATTTCAGGGCAGTGCACAAACCCTGTACCACAGTGCTGATGTCCAGCAGGTGCTCTGACTGCCCACTAAGCCCAGTGGGAAGGCCAGGAGGGCACTCTTTGCTAAGGCAGCACTTCTCAGATGGAATTTAAGCCCTGTGCTTGGAGTCCTCAAGGACTCTGATCTCCTGTGGCCCATGCCCAGAAGCTTACGAGCAAGATCCCACTGGTCAGTGATGCATTGCATCTCTGCGCTGGATGCCTTTTATCTGCAGAGCCCTTGGCTTCTGTCAGGAGGGCTTAGCACCATCTGTACATGCAAAACCTGCCAGATTTGGTTGCAGTTCACTCCGCAGATCCTTATCCACTTCCTCCTGTACGTAGCAGACCAACACCCAAGCGCTGCTTCCTACTCGCCCACATCTGCACGTCGGATGCAGGGTGCATTTCCCCTGCCCCAGCCACACTCAGGCTCGCTCTCCTCTGGCTGAAGGGCTGAGGACACAGCTGCAGTGCCGTGGTGGACCGAGGCTGTGGTTTCTCCTCTGAGCAGGAGACCTGCTGATGCTGATCTAGTGCACCTGTGGGTACAGAAAGGCAGGAGAGCTCTCCCAGGCTCGCCAAATCGTGAGGGTTTCATGCAGCTGAGAGTGCATTGCATTTCTTACCTGGCATCACAGGGAGGATGAAGCTGGTTTGGGGACCAAATGTGGGTCAAGCCGCGGGGTTGTATGGGGAAAGGAAACGCATGGGGGAATGTACACACCGTAACCTTCTTTTCTATCATTTTTCCTTCCCACAGAAAAAGAGGAGGGCAGCCACTGCCCGGCGGCAGCACCTGAAGGTAGGTGACACTGCTGGGCGAGCTGTGTCCCGACTGTACCACCTCCCACTGCGAACAGCTCCTAGGCACTTTCCTGCCTGGGAAAGGCCACGATGCATGATGTGAGGTTCCCTGTGCACTTTTCTGCCCCTTACCAGGGAGCCTTCTGCACAGCAGGACTCTGGTGCTGGGGGAGGCTGGAGCCAGCATCCCCCCGAGCTTCTCAGAAGTTCCCCTGAATCCCCACTGTGTGGGATGTGGGTGGTTTGGCCATGGGGAGCTTCCTTTTGCTCCAACCCCACACTGAACTCCCTCCTGTTGCTTTGCAGAGTGCTATGCTCCAGCTTGCTGCCACTGAAATAGAAAAAGAAGCAGCTGCTAAGGAAGTGGAAAAGCAAAACTATCTGGCAGAGCACTGCCCTCCTCTGTCCCTCCCAGGATCCATGCAGGAACTCCAGGTAAACACGTCTTTCACCCTTACACCCTGCAGGCCACCCTTCACCATCTGGGATCAGATGGTCTTGAATGATGGCCTGGTCCTCCTCCAGCCTTCGGGATTTTCGGAGACAGAGGGGTCTGTCAGAGACAGAGGAGAAGGAAGAGGTCTGGCGAGAGGAACCACCTGCATGTCCTGGTACTCAACATCCCTCTCCATTTTTCCTCCCAGGAGCTGTGCAAAAAGCTGCATGCCAAGATCGAGTCAGTGGATGAGGAAAGGTACGACACAGAGGTGAAGCTACAGAAGACTACCAAGGAGGTGAGCATCCCCCGGGGCCATCCAGCAGCTGCCTCAGCAGAGCCTCTGGCTCATCCTTCCTCCTTCCCAATGCCTCTTGCTGGTGCATGAAGCTCACGCTGGGCTGTCTCTGCCCCTTCTTCTCCTCCCCACAGCTGGAGGACTTGAGCCAGAAGCTGTTCGACCTGAGGGGCAAGTTCAAGAGGCCACCCCTGCGCCGGGTGCGCATGTCGGCAGATGCCATGCTGCGCGCCCTGCTGGGCTCCAAGCACAAGGTCTGCATGGACCTGCGGGCCAACCTCAAGCAAGTCAAGAAGGAGGACACGGAGAAGGTACCCATTCCCTCTCCCACATGGGCATCAGCCCCTGATTTTGGGAGCTGATGCCTCCCTGCATGATAGACAAGGTGGGGGGTGAGGGTCCTTCCTGCTCCATAATTCCTCTCCTAGCTCCCAGTGTCAAAAATGTGGCATGCGGCCCCAAAAGACGTACAGGAGGGGTGGAATTGGGCTCCTCTAGCTGACATGGGGTTGTCCAGGGGAGATGAAATGTTAGGGAACCTGTGGTGAGGTTTCCATGGCCAGAGGGGTGAAGGGGCTGTGCTCGGGGGGTATTTCACCCTGCGGAGCCATCCCACCACGTGCCCATCCCTCCTGCAGGAGAAAGACCTCCGCGATGTGGGCGACTGGAGGAAGAACATCGAGGAGAAGTCCGGCATGGAGGGCAGGAAGAAGATGTTCGAGGCCGGCGAGTCCTAAGCACTGCTGTCTCCACGCCTGCCGTTCCCACCCTCCTCCATCCCCTCCTGACATGGCCGTGGCCATGGCCACCTTCCCCTACCCCCGGCCCCAACACATCCTCGCCACGCATCGAGCCCACCGGCCGGGTGCTGTTTCCCTGGTTTTGTGCAGAGCTGCAGTCTGGAAGCAGCGGTGTAAATAAAGCTTTGGTGGGAGAGGGGGATGTCGCCTGCCGTGCTAGGGACGGGGAGGCCCCGTGCTGTGGGACCACCCTGGGGATGCTCATCTCCAGCAGGAGGCTGCCTTGGCCTGGTGTGCTCGGTGGGCAGCAGCACGGGATGCTCCCCTGCTGCCCTCCTCGTGGTCTCCATCTCATGGTGACGGGGTAGGAAGGGACATTTCCTCTCTCCTAAGATCTGTCCTCTGACCCCATCACAGGAGCTGCCATGCCTGGGCACTGCTTGGGCAGGCAGAGGAGAGGGCTGGGGGTTTTGGGGTGGTGAGGAACCATCTGCCAGAGGAAGGAAGTGGGTGAGGCCATGGCACGATGCCATCGCCTGCTCTACCTCCTCCTGCTTCTGCTTGTTCCCCAGCGGGGGCCAAGTGGGGGCCAGGAGGTGATGGCCCCATGCTGGGCGCTTCTTGGTGGCCTCTTGGTGGCTCTGGTCACTCCTTGCACTGGTGGTCATGCCCATGGTGCTGTGCTGTGGCTCCTCTCCGTGTGGGGTGATGGCTGGGGGGCAGGAGCTCTCAGCCCAGGCACGGGGGGCGCGCAGCCTGCGTTGGTGGTGCAAAGCAGCCACCCCCAGGGCTGCAGGGGATGCTCAGCACCCGGAGAGGAGCAGGCGATTGCTGTGAGAGGTGTGAAATCCAGACCACCTCTGTGCCATGGTGATGGTGCCCCACGCACCACAGGGCGCTGCGGTTCAGGGCTGCAGGATGTCCCCATATGAGCTGTGCCAGCACCAGGGGTGGCCCTGGGGAGCGGTGGGTTGCCCTTCTCCCTGCTGGGGGGGATGTCCACGCTCCTCCCTTCCCCTTCAGTCTTTCTTAGCGCTTCCCTCTTTCGAGGCTGCCGACAGAGGCGAAACCTTAAAATAATCTGAACCTTTTTTTAAAAAAATATATAATTTGCCTTCTCCCATCCCCCCTAAACCCACAAAGTTTCCGGCACAGCTCACTTCTGCCCAGCGCAGGAAGAGCGAAGCGGCGGCAGCAGCACCCTTGTGCACCGTCCCCCCAGCCCTGAGCCGTCCCCAGGGCACTGTGCCGGACAGGAGGGAGATGTCGGACTCAGAGGAGTGCCACCAGGGTGCAGAAGGAGAGGACCAAGTGGGAGATGAATCCCACCAGGAGAGCGAGAGGTGAAGCCTGGGGACTGGGGAGCCCAGCGGAGATGAATCTGGGAGGATGGGGAGCTGGGAGGGGAGGTGTTGGGGGGAAGGAATGTCGTGGGGCCAGTATGAGAATGATCCATGGGACGTGAAGGTGATCAGATGCCCTGGCAGGGTTTTGGTGAAGCCCTTCAGCTATGGATAGACTTAGATTTCCTAAAGGTCCCATCTCCTTTGAACTTCAAAGCCGCTGGGGGGGTTGGTCCAGTGGGGAACCTGGACTCCCATGCAAGCTCAGCGAGGGGTCTGGCTCCAAGACTGGGGCCTGCCATGGTGCCCCACAGTTGAAATCAGCCCCGTCTTTAAGGCAAATTGGGGCAGAGCCTGCTGCAGGATGTGTCCCTCTCTCTGTGCGCATGGGTGGGTGACTTTGGTGGGAAGGAGATGGGAGGCAGGAGGGATGCCCAGACCCCTCACAAGAGGGATCCCCCTTGCAGGAGGGATGCTCAGACCCCTTTTGCTCTCACCTGATGCCTTTGCCATGGCTTGTAGGACCATGCTCAGGATTTGTGACACCAGCAGCTAACGTGGCTGTGGGATGGGGCTGGGAGGTGGCGCTGCCTTGGTGGTCTGATTTCTTTTTGTGTCCGCTACGCCTCTAAACTGAATTAACCTGGACATTTTTCAGGCTGGCTGCTGTCTTTTGTCAGCTTACACATCTCCCCGTTCCTCTGGTCTGCTTTGTTGCTTTATCAACAGATTGTGATTTTACAGTCTGTTGTACTCTGTACCTGTACTCTGGTCACTCCACAGCAGGCAGCTTTCCATAGGGGTTAAGGGGAAAGAGACCAGCAGCAGCAGACCAAACTGCAGCTGACTGCAACAGGGGGAGGCAGAGGTAAGCTTGGCCGAGGAATCTCACAGAAGTATTCAGATTTGGATGCAGCCAGGTTGAGGCTGAGCATCCCTGGAGCCTGGGGGTTGCCTGATTTTCTCCTCCAGCTTCAAAGCTCGCATTAGCATTTCTCCGCAAGGCTGCTGAAAGGCAGCACACTTCATGTCGAGAGAAAAAAACACCCCTGAGTGACAAGGAGAGGGGAAAGGTGTGTCATCTCCTACCGCTGACGGCTGCGCTGAGTGTTTGGGCTGACACCTGACAGCAATTAGCCCTGGCTGAAGGCTTGACTGGAGGCTTCAAAAAGGTGCTGGAGCCGCAGTGCGTGGCTGCCTGCAGGAACAAAGGGGAAAGCTTTGCTGCTGGGGGGTGCTGAGGTATAATTCCAGGCAGTGCTCATTTGCCTTGCAGGGGAAGGAGCCTTTTTGGGGTGGCTGAGCCCTTTTTGGGGTGGCCAAGCTCCTTCACCTCTTGCTGCAGTGGGTGGAGGTATATTGGCTTAGCCAGGGCCATGCAGGAGGAGTCCCTTGTGGGGCAGTGCAGGGCAGGGCAGGGCTAGGTGTTTCCTTTCTCTGTTTTCTCCTGGAGCTTCAAATAAATAAGATACGAAGGCACCCGTTTTATAGCATTAAAACTCTTTTTGAAACTTCCTGATAAATTGTGCGCATGGATACTAATTAAAGCTGGTGCAGCTCTTTCTTTCAGATGAATTTTAATGAAATATTAAATGGATGGAAAAAAGAGAACAAAAGTATTTTTTTTGTTTGTTAAAAAAAAAAAAAAAGGAGAATCACTTTCCCTCCTGATTTGTGTAATGGTTTCATGTGCAGCTCTGAACTCCTCCTTTTGCTTGCACTATTTACATGTTTGCCAAGCTCTCACCATTTCCACCCCCCAAATGGAGGAAGGAAGTGTGTGTTTGCTGCCTGGGGCTGCCTCTCTTCTGCCTGTGGTTAGCTCAGCTCTCTGCTCTCCTCACCTCAGGCAGAAGTTCTTCTCAAGGCCATCAGTGTGTGGATGGAGGGGTGGATGGATGGATGGAGTCAGGGCAGTGCTCTGAAGGCAGTGTGAGGAGTGCTGGGGATGCGAGCAGTGGGATGGAGCTGCCAGGGAAGCCAATCCCGAGGCTTTCTGGTGGCAATGTACACATACTTTGGAGATATGGGAGAGGGAAAAAAGAAGTTGGGTTTGCGTGATGAGCTTTGAAATCTGCCCAGCATATATAGGGGAGGAATTCACGATAGGGAAGGCTTACACTCGTATAGCTACTGAGGCAATCCCAGCCTGGATGCAGCTTATCCCTTGTCCCTGTGTGACCAGAGGCATGCTGGCAGAACCTTGCTCGTGCTGGTGTACCACCACCAAAAACCAGCTGGAGTTGCACTTTTCCACAAGCTGCCCTTGCTCTCAGGATGCCTCGGGGCCATGAGCCCAATGTGAAGCCTGCCCTGCAGGACACGGCCACCTGAGTGTGGCTCACAAAGCAGGCCCAGCTGCAGAGCAAGGGGCTCGGAGCCGAGAAGCCAGCTTCTCCCCAGTCCCCTGCCACCTCCCCTGTGGGGCTGCCCTCCCGGGAGCTGCAGGAAGCCCTCAGCAGCCCTTGTATGGTCAGCACCACGGGAAGGGCTCCACCGCGCCAGCAGGCCCCGGGCTTTGCTCAGCCACGTCTGTCCCCAGCTGTCTCGAATTCTCCAGATCCTTTGAGGAGTCTCGAGGGTCCCTGCGAAGATGAGTCTTGTTGCTAAGTATACCCGTGGCTGGAAGGAGGCTGGCCGGGAAAGCTGATATGGGGAGAGCCCTCGGCACATGGGATTCCTTGGGGGAGGGATGGCTGAGCCCCGCATGGGGTGACCGCTCCGAGTTTGCCCCAGCTGGGAGCAGCGGAGCGAAGAGGAGTAGGGGAACACACAGGGGAGAGCCAGCAGACCCCAGCTGGAAGACCTAAGGAAGCTGGGCAATACTGCAGCATTTCCATATTAGATGTAGGTGCTCTGGCAGGGGCATTAGGGATGAAGAGCTGTCTCTAAATATAGGGACGTATCAGGTGCCTTCACTGCCCCTTTCTCCTTGCAGGAAACCCTGGCTTGTCTTGCCTATTTTGCAATGTAAAGCTGGGGGTTTGGGGGTGTGGGTGTTAATAGGGGATAGCCCAGGAGCTTTTATTTGATTTTTTTTTTAACCACTGAAGGATGTGCTAGCCAGAGGGTTAGCTGAGCATGGGCTGCCAAAAAAAAAAAAAAAAGTGTGTATTTTAAAACAGTTTAGAAACACTTGGGGTGAAATCTGGCTCTGAAGCCTGTGGGATTCCCTTCTCTGTGGGTTCTGGAGACAGCTTGCTGTGGGGCTGAGTGTCCTCGCACCAGTCCAGGAGGTTTTGCCAACCCCCCCACTGCTGGCTGCTGCTGGAGCCCATCCCTTATCCACAGGATTTGCCCTCTGTTGGGTGCCAGCTACAGGTAGTTTCTTATCGGACCCGTGTGACACCTGCCAGGCCTTGAGCAGGTGTTTTACACAGCCCGAGGCATCTCCGATGGTGCTGCACATCTGTTCAGGCACCTGAATTGCCGAGTTCCCAAATCACCTAGTGAGCACGGACCACTGCTGAGATCTGGGCTGAGGCTGAGCAGGTATCCCTGCCCTCGGGCTGCCTGGGTGCTCTGAGGAGGCTCAGCTACCAAGGGGTTAACCGGCCCTGCTTGGCGCCCGTGTGTGCTTTCCTTGCCATGGATCCCTCCTAACACGCACCAGATGTGCGAGGCAGCTGCCGGAGTGCCTTAATCCCAGGTTTCGGCACTCGGGGCTGCCTTTCTCACGGGCAGGTCCGCAGCAGGGTCTCTGGGGGCTCGCAGGGCGGCTGGCAGCACCCATCCTCATCCTCTGTCGAGCTGGGCATCTTCTGCTGTCGGCTGCCTGCAGTCACCTGCGGGGTGTGCTGCTGGTGTGGAGGCAGGGCTGGTGCTGATGGTGTGATATTGGGTCGTACGGGATGAGCAGTGGTGTCTGGAGACAGAGCGATGTGGATTTGCCCTGCCACAGAGGAGCTTCACACCAGCCCGGTGTCTGAGAGCTGTCCAGGGACTCCGTGGGCAGAGAAACACATGGGCTGAATTTATTAACGAACCCAAAGGGAACCCCATTCAGGGGCTGGTGACCCGCTGGCACCGGGGGGCTGAATGCTTGCAGCCACCTGGGAGCACCTGGTCTGAGATGTGCAAGGTTTGGTTCACTTGGAGCTGGATTTATTTGGATTTCTCTTGTTATTGCACGGAAATACAGGCCTGATGTTTTGGGTAGCGTGCATCAGCACCACCACACTGTCTGCGGTGAAGCTGTGCCAGTTTGCATCAGCTGGAAGTCTTCGGTTCTTTCCCTTACAAGCTCATTTTGCAAACGAACCCCTTGCTAGGGATTTTTTCTGCATTACCAAGCAGCCCCTCTCCCAGCCCTAGGTATCTGTTGCTTGCTGCTGCTAAATAGACACTATGTGCAATTTGTTTTATCAAGCTCCTGCCAGACGGGCTGGAAAATATGATCACTCCTTCGGTGCATGCGCATGCATGTGCTTTTTTCTGCTGCAAAAGCAGTTTCCTTTCCAGGGAAAGGTTGCTCTGGAGCCATTAACATTGACAAACCCTGAGCTATTGACACATCCCAAGCAACCACAACTGCCATCCATTTGTGAAGGGCAAAGTTCCCCCCCTCAATAAAATCAGAAGCGATAATTGAACCGGCTGCTGGAATGGTTTCAAAGCAGGCAGCCTCCTCGCAGTTGCCCCTTACCTTCTGTAAGGAAGCTGACAGCAGCGGGTCCGAGCTCAGCTGTGCCCGAGGAAAGGCTCGTGTGTTATCCACTGTGTGCTCCCCTGCCCTGAGGGGCTTCTCCTTCCCCGGGCTGGCATTTCTCGCTCCTCTTTTCCTCTCTGGTTGACACGGTCCTGCATACAGCTTCAACTTGTGCTTGCCCCGATCCATCTTCCTGGAGCTAATGGCAGAAAGGCCCCTTTCAGCTCTGTATGAGGTCTGGCTCTGCAGAATTAATTAATTTTTGGATGCACCCCTGCACTTTTCCCTGCCCCTACATGGTGGCTCCCATCTTTTTGCCTGGCTCCAGCAGGGGAGGCGTGGATGGATGCTGGCTTTCTGCGAGCTGGGATTAGCTGTCTTCCCATGAGGCTTGGAAGTGGGAATTGCCAGATGATGCCTGGGGCTTCCTTCCTATCCCTTAGCCCACCCTAGCCCTAGCAGGAGAACCAGCCTGGCAGCGTGAGGCAGGGGTTAGTGGCTGCTAGAAGTGCCTGTGTTGCACAGGGCAGTGCCACACCACGGGAAAATTGTGTGGCCACCTCTGCTCTTCATGGAGCTGCCCTGGCTCATGCTTGCACCCCCTCTGCTTCCTGCCCTCCTCCTCCCTTTTTAAACCCATCTTTCATTTTCCTTTTGCTCCCTTCTCCCTTGGTCCTCTCATTTCTTTTCCTCATTCATATCCCTCATGGAGCACCACACCATCTCTCACCATGCTTACAGGCTCCCATCTCCCCTCTCACTGGGAGATGAAGCAAATCCGTGGGGGTTTAGGCTTATGATCTGTCCATAAAATGCTCCAAGGGGACAGAACAGGATGGGTCCCTCTTCTGTCCTGCATGGGGGTGAGAGGGCAGCAGTGGGATGAGGAATGAGGGCTGCTCCTTCCAGCCCCAGCTCTCTCTCCTTTTTGTTTCTGCCTCTCTGGATGTCATAGGAAGAAAGTCATCGTTGTTCCCGAGCCAAGCGCCTCAGACTTCTGACATGGTGTTTGTTGACTCTTTGGACTCGGCCCACAATCATACGTGCTCCTCCTTGGGAGCCAGGCCCCCTGCAGCCCCAACATCTCTCGCCTGCGGTGCTGCCCCGCGTGGCTGCGGGGTGAGCCCAGGGCCAGGCGCCCTCCTGCGGAGCCCTTCCTGAGCGCCTCCCACCTCCTCTGCCCCACTGCCCCTCGGGGTATGTGGGCTGGCAGAAAGCCCCTTGCTCGGGCAGCCCCTGCTGGCTGTATCCCCTCATCCCCTCCCTGTCTGCCCCTGGGGTCATGTCTTGTCTGGGGAGCATCCTTGTGCCGCTGCCAGGGGCGGCTGCAGGTGCAGGCAGGGCAGGTTGATCCCACCTCCAAGAGCTTGCTCTGCCTTCTGGTGGCACCTTCGGCATGGCTGTACATCCCCTGCTTCACCCTGGGGTGTTTTCTAGTGCTCACCAGACCTGGCAGGTCCTCAGCACTCCGACCCTGCTCTTCCCTCCCCAGAAATCACAGCACCCCAGCTAACCGTGCCGATGGGACACGCGGCCCTCTTGACAGCATGCTTCTGGAGCTTGCAACTGGCTGCTCCTGCTGAGAAGGAGATAATGTGCTGCTCTTGGCTGCTAGACGCCCAATTTCCTTGGGATTATCTCTGCCTGCCTGTTCTGGCCTCTGCACTTGGCTGCCCGAAAATGAGTGCTGATGGAGTGTGCCGAGTGGGAACTAGGGATGGAGGGGACGCAGGCAAACCCTCTCCACCAGGCTGTTGTGCTGCTTGTGCCAGCTGGGGCCCCCTTCTTGCTGAACTGGGGCTCCTGGGAGGCTGGGCAGGTGCTGGTTTCGAAGTGGGGTTTGCCCATGGTGAAGAGGTCCAGGAGGTGTCAGGATGGGCAGAGAGGGTTGGGTGGCAGGGGGAAGACTGCGGGGTTTCTGGCCCTAAAGCCACCCTTGCTGGGGCAGGGCTTAGCCCACGCTGGAGCAGCAGAAGCTGTTCCTACAAGGGGGTCTGCTCTGGGTGGGTTCCCCCCTCTGACATGGGGGCACGGCTGCTGGAAACCACACTGGCCCTGCAAAGGGCCAATCCTCAGCACGACCGCCTGTTGGAGCCCATGCTGCTGCTCGGCCAGGCTGGTACCGCTTTGCATCGCCGCGTGTTTGGGGAAAACTGCTTTGGATGCATTTCTTTGTTAGCAATGGAGTCTTTTTTCCTAGTTTTTCCTCTCCCCCCCCCCCCCTCACTAGACCATGTGTTAGGCTCCGACTGATTTTGCAACCAGCCCTACATAGCAGAGCGGTTGTGTAATTAACGGGAACTGGTGCGGCCCTATCTCCCGGGGACTCCCGCCTCCTCCCCGCAGCAGCCCAGCCCGCCTCGCTCCCTCCTGGCCTCTCACCTCTCCACTGCCCCTGCTGCAGGAGCAGCCCTGGGAAGCTCCCCAGTGGCCGGCAGCAGCTGTCCGGGTGCTCAGGGCATCCCTGCTCCCGTACTGGGGTGAGGTTTTGCTGCGGGGATTTGTGGTGGTTCTCCTAAGCATGCGCCACACACCCCCACTGAAAAATAATAAAAAAGGAGATGAATTAATTCTTTGTTTCTCTTCCTGTGTCCGCTGTGCTCCTGCCCGCTTCCTGGTGGGACCAGGAGGTTTGCTGCTGCGAAAGGAGGTGTGCAGCTGCGGGGCTGGGGCTGTTCTTGGCGGCGTGGTGGGATGCAGGCTGCTGCACCTGGGCTGGGCTGGAGGAGAGGGGACAGAAGTGCCTCTGTTCTGCAGGATGGTGCTGTGGGACCGCTCTTCCTCCAGCTGTGGTGTGGGGAGCTCTTCCTCTTGGTGTTTCCCAGCAGACGGGTCCTGTCCCAAAAAGCAGAGCCCTGTAGGTGCGTGCACCATTCGGAGCATGGGGGCAGTGGTGGTGAAGTCCAGAGGAACGTCCTCTGGCTTGATCCTAATTACCCTGTAAGTACTCGCAGGGCTGGGACGTGCTCCTTTTGAGCAACAGAGGCCTTTTGTGGTGAATCTCTTGCATCGTCTCCCCAGCCCCGAGCTCGGAAATAGCAAACACAGCGTGACAGCATCGGAGGGGCCGCAGAGCGAGGCCAGGATCAGTGTCTGTGCTCGCTGGGTTTGTGATCGCTTAGGGGAAGTTTGGTAAATACCTGAAAAAAACAAAACTGTTTCGAAATGAAGCCAAGGAGAGGCACATCCTTCTGATCTGGGCTCAATGCACTTCCTTTTTATTGAGATTTCTGGGTGTATTTCGTGGGCAGCTTCCCCATTTCATGAAGCACTTCTGCAGATGTGATTGAAATGTGTAAGTAAGGTGAGAGGGGGCTGAGGGCAGAAGGAAGGTGAGAGCAGGGGGGTCCCCCCTATGGGACACGATGAGGAGGAGGTGGGCAGGTTGTGCCATGTGCACTACTGCCTGCCGGGCTATAGAAGGGCTGGGACTTGGTAGGTGCGAGTCCAGGCACCCGCTGCTCTGGGATAGAAGAAACTTCCCCTCAAAGTCACACGTGGACCTGGGGATACAGGTGAGGGAGGAAAGGCTGATTTTGTTATTTTTTTCCAACACTGCTCCCATGATGAGGCAGCGTAAAGGCGAGAGCAGTCACCTGTACCTGACAGCATGGCAGGCGGTGTTGGCAGGCGACATCGCTCCCAGTCATTCACTGGCCACTCACGTGCTTTTTATCCTCCTGAAGCGCTGATGCTTCGTGAAGGCAAGCCAGATCATTTTTTGCTCTCTCTGGCTGATGCTTGGGGAAACTGATGCACGGCAGAGTCGGTCACTTGAGCAGGCAAAGAGGAGAGGTGAGCGCAGAAGCAGGGTGCGTGCCCCCTGCTGCCTGATGGCAGCCCCCAAAATCCAGCTGCTGGCCTCATCTCCTGAGAAGAGCTTCCCCTGGAGCAGTTCCCCAGTGCTGAAGCCCCTCTGGCATTAACCTGGCTCTGGGTTTGTCTTTAGGCACACGGGGACAGCGGGGAGGTGAGACTTCTCCTGATGTGAACGGAGCAGGGCTGCCCGAGTGCAAGCTGCAACCCGAGGGCACAAACCCAGGCTGGCTTTGTTCCCAATTCTTCTAATAGAGAAAGCAGTGCTGGAGGTAAGGGGGGAGTAAAAAAAGGGAAAAGGAAAAGGAAAAAAAGGAAAAGGAAAAAAAAAGAAAAAGGAAAAAAAAAAAGAAAAGGAAAAAAAAAACAGAAAAGGAAAAAAAGGAAAAGAAAAAAATGAAAAGGAAAAAAGGAAAAAAGGAGAAGGGTAAAAAAAGGGAAAAAAAAAAGGAAATGAAAAGGGAAAAAAATAAGAAAAAGGGGAAAAAAAGAAAAAAAGAAAAAGAAAAAGGGGTGAATGGGGAGGGAGAAGAGCTGGAGAAGAGGAACGAGGGAGGGATAGAAGTGAGAGGGAAGCAGCCCGGGGGGGAGCGCTGGGCTTTGTGCTGCGCTCGCAGGCAGCATCCAGCCTCGCATCCAGCGCTGCTCTCGGCAAGCTTTCTCCCTGACATTTCCAGCAGGCAGAGGAGGAGGAGGTGGAGGTGGAGGAGACAAGAGGGGGTGGGCCGGGGGGGGCTCGCAGAAACAAAAGGAAACCAGCTGCAGAACTTCCTGAAGACGGGGCCGGGGGGAGAAGCGAGGGCGTGCGGCGCCGGGCGGGAGCTGCGGGAAGGGGAGCCGCCAGCCTTGGCCACCATGACCAGCGCGATCCTGAGGAGGAACTCCAGCAAGCAGGGCCTGCAGAACCTCATCAGGTGAGCGCCCACCTGCCGGGGGGCCGGGGGGGCCCGGAGGGGCCGCCTGTGCCGGGAGCCGTCCCCGCGCCCCCTGCGATCAGCGGGGTCCGGTCCCCACCGGTCCCCAGCCCCGACCGCTCGCGGTGCGCTGCAGGAAGGCAGATGGATCCCCCCCTTCCCCAGCAATATGAGAAAAGCAGATCTGAACTTACTGATGGCTTTTCCAGGAGCACACAACTGGAATAACTCAGCGCGGCCGGGCTGTGACACTCACCTGAGCCGGCTGCCTTCTTTTTTTTTTGCCATTTTTTTTTTTTTTTTTTCCTTTTTTCCCCGAAATGTGCATTGTGCCGTGCCTGCTGTGATGTGCATGCTTAATTCTGCGAGGGGCCGGGTCCTCCCGGGGCTGCGAGCTGGCGCTGTGCCCTTGATTCAATCAATCGCGATAGTGCTTGGAACCTCTCTTCCTTACCGGGGCAGGGAGGAGGATGGCAGGGTTGGTTTTTTTTTTTTCCTTTTCTCAGCCCAGGCTGAACCGAGGAGCATGGCCACATTGTCTGCTGGTTCTGGGATTCCCTGCCATGCGCTCACTCTGGTTTTGAGCCGGGGCTGGAAATACCCCCCCGGGACCAGCAGCAGCTGGTGCTGGGGCAGCTCACACGGTCCCTTGCGTCCCTCCCTGCCAGGAGAGACGAGCTGCTCCCCTCTTTATAATAACTGAGCCCCTGAGCGAGGGGAGGGTGGAATTAGGGAGCGCCGGGCTCACACCCCACGTGCTGGGCACCTCCGGGCTCCCTCGTGCTGCTGGCGGTGAAAGATGGGGCTGGTGGGACAGATGTTCCCAGGCGGTTTGGGATTTCCCTGGTGATGCAGGCTGTGAACCTCACCCTCCGAGCGAATTCCTTGCTGTGTGGGGGAGGTTGGGACCAAGAGCCACCCCGTCCCTGCCACCTCCTGGTCTGGGCACTGTGTGGCAGGGAGCTGCTGTCCTCTGGGGTGGGAAAGGGGCATGAGGGGGGAGGTATGCATGCTTTGTACACGCACAAGGGGCATCCGAAGTTGGCACAGCCCAACCAGAGGTGTTTTCTTCTCTGTAACCATGTCCCCGAGTTCCTCCTGCTTCAAGTAGGGACTTTTTTTGTGTCCCGGAGACGTGCAGGGGCTTTTACCAGAGGAAATTTGGGATGGCTTTTGTCCTGAGCGGGGTTTCTATGCTTCATCTGGCTGACGTTGACTCTGGGGCTGTGAATTCCAGCCCTGTTTATAGAGGAGGAGGAAGGAGCTAGGGCGTGAAGATGTGCGAGGGATTTAGCCCGCTGTTTACGCCCAAATAACTCCACTAACACTTGCAGAAATCAACAGGAGAACAGGCAGGCTCTGCTCCACTCACAGCCTGTCTTGCAGCTGTATTTTCTCCCTCTTAAGCCTGCCAGGGAGGTGCAAACCCTTGAGCAGGCTCCTTCAGTCTGTGATTGCCTCGAGGCTCCTGGCTTCAAGACACATCCCCGTGAAGACTGTGCTCCTGCTCTGCTTTCATCTGTCCCAAGGTGACCGCAGGCTGCATGGTTATGCTTCATAGGTCTGAAGCTCTTCTGACGTGCAGGAGTGTGTAGCTGACCTGGAGACGAGTCAAATAGGCTGGTTGGGAGTCTGATGTGTGCGCATCAGGGATTTCCCTGAGTGCCAGATGTGCCCTTCGCTCCTCCACGCCAAGCATCGTGCTCCCTTCGGAGCCTGGTGCGAGGCTCTCAGCATCTTTGCTGGGGTGACCTGTTGGCTCGCATGGTGCTCACCGAAATTTGGGAGGATCTACCTTTTGTGTTGCTCACAGGGAGCCGTGGGTCTGTCGGGGCTAACCAGGGACTTGCCTTCCTTTGGGGCTTGCTTTGGGGTGGGTCGGTGTGCTGGAGAAGCCAAGCTGGGACGAAGTGCTGTGACAGCACCCTGGGAGCATCCTTCACCTCTCGGCAGGCTGAAAAAAAAAAAAAAGAGTCCATCCTGTGCCTTGCTTCCTCCCAGGCACAGGGCATGGGTGGACTTTGCAGGGGGTGCTCGGCAGGGATGGGCCATGCAGCGCTATCTGTCCTCCCTCCTTCCCCTGCACATACCCCCTCGGGCATAATCTCTCTGTTGGGACCTCCCTGGGGAAATATTTGTCCCTTTGTAGCAAGGTAATGGCACCAACCCCTCGCGCTTGCCAGAGACTTTGTATTTTTGAAGTCTTCTACAAACACAAGCCTCCCTATCTCGTTATCGCGGTCTGTTCTCCCCTTATCCTCCTAATGAATTCCTATAAATAAGATAGGGATCCAGCGCCTGTCATGTCGATCCATTCAGTTCATTATCAGTTCCTGCCGGAATTTCTCTCCCTCTATTTATCGAGTCTCAAGTGTTTCACAAAAGAAGATGGCTGTTTAATTAACCCACAAATCAGCCTCTTTGTAAATCTGCAGCAGCGGCCACGCCACTCCCCGAAACTGGGTGATGGGGGCTCAGTGCGTGCAGTGCGCTGGATGCAGTCATGATCCCATAGCCACACTGGGTTGGAGGCAGCTTTAAAATACCCTCAGCTCCTTGAATTTCCATGTATGCCGTGAGTGTAATGCTTGGTGCAATGGGAATCCGGGCGTTTGCTTTCCCTTCTGTCCGTGCGTGACGTCTCCTGGAGGTGGCCAGGATGTGTCTCAGCAGGGAAGATGCTGCTCTGGTGTCTATTTCTGCTTGACCTCCAGAGCAGGGAGCTGCCTGAGGCCGAGCTGGGAATGAGGAGCTCGAAGGGCTTGGGAAAGGGCGAGGGCTGGATGGCGCTTTGAAGGCGAAGGAGATTTTTTTGAGGGGTGGATGCCAGGCCACGGTTCATTGCAAGGGCAGTGGTGGTATCATGGGGGCTATTGCAGCTTCTCTGGGCTCATGTTCACCTCCATGTTCCCTGGGTAGGTGCAGGGAGCAGATTCTTCTCCTCCATGGCATCCTCCTGCGTACCATGGGGATGCTTTCACAGCTTTTCCTGGCCCTGGGGCTTGCTTTGCCAGGAGCACCACATCTGCCATGCGGTGTAATGTTCCTTTTCTGGAAGGAAAGAGGAGCTCGGCAGCCCAGCCGATGCTTTTTGCTTCTTTTTAGTCCAATTGTGCCTCACTTGTCTCTGGCTCCTACTCATCCGAAAGCAAGTGGATGTTTAGGGCCTGACCTTGGGGTGATGGAAATTTTGGGGAGCTGCAGGGGGTGATGATGGGGTGAAGCCCCACCATGCATATCTGCAGGGTGGTTCGGCCAGCAAGGGCTGCGGGTGGGATGCTGGGGTGCTGTGTGACAACAGGCTTCCCACTTCCCGAGGCTTTTTTTTCCCTTTCTCCCACCTTTGGTGACTTGGCTAAGAACAAGAGTTGCAATCAGTGTTTTGGGGCAAAACCTGTTGTTTTTTCTCGAAGGCACAGCAGAGGCTGAGGGCTTGTTGGGGGCCCTGGTTCCCGTTGCAGCTCAACTCATCAGCACTGGCCATAAATGAATTGAGCCTCAGCTCTCCCAGGGAAATGCACAGCGCGTTCCCACGGCCTCCCTGCTGCCTCCTGTCACTGCTCCGGCAGGAAACTCCCTCCTGCTGCTCTGGGCGGTGGGGCTTCGGGGGAATCACACTCGCCCCGAGGACCCTACAACAAATGCCTTGTGGCCAAGCCGGTGGGTCCTCGAGGCTCAGCCCTGCTGTAAGCAGCAGCACGCCTGATACGAATCTTGCTCGAAATCCCAGCTTCAAGCAGGGGCAAAGCATTGTTCTCCTCCATCCTTTGCAGCATGAGTGCATCGAGGAGGTAGCCAAGGCAGCGAGGCTGGGGAGGCTTGCTTTCCTCATCGAGAGACAAAAAAAAATAATACTCAGGCTTAGTAAGCCAATCCGACCCTCCCTGACAAGCCTGCTTTCTCCTCTGGCGTGCCTCTCCCTTCCAAAAACAGAGCCCAGACTTCCTCCTCTTTAGGCAGACGCCGATTTCTCGAACCTTGCAGCTGAGATAGAGGGAGCGTGAGAAAAGGCCACGGTTCGGGGTCGTACGCGGCACCGATTTCTCACACCTCCTGAGCACTGCAGCCTGTGCAGGGTGCTGGGAGGGCTCCAGCCCCAGCCCTTTCTCTCCCCCCTCCGCCTCCAAATTCCAGACCGGTGATGTTAATGCATTACCGCACCAGCATATCTGTGTGCTAAGGACCCACGGTCCTGGGGGTGCAATCCATCATCTTGTAAAGGAGTTGTTGGGAGTCTGTCTGCTGTGGTTAAAAATGATTAAAAAATACATAAAAATGGGTTATTAAAGGCGCTGGCCTCAGGCTTGCTCCACCAGGCTGGGAGCGCTGCTGGTGGGATGCTTCCCAGCCTTTGGCATAGGTAGGGGAGGGACCTGCTGCTTCTCCGTGGCGTGGGTTTGTGTCCAGGTTTGGGGTGTTGGTGATGAGATGTTGTAATTCC